GAAGGAAGGAAGGAAGGAAAAGAGGGAGGGAGGAAGGAAGGAAAGGAGGGAGGAAGGGAAAGAAAGAAAGAAACAGAAAAGAAAAGCAGTAAAGCTTCTTGGATCTGCTCTGGAGTCCCTCAGTGCTCTGTCGGGTGGAGGGCAGCCTGTTTTGTTATAAACCCTTTGGAATCATGGTTGGTCATCATGTTCATCAGAGTTACTAAGGCTTTCAGAGTGGATAGTCTTTACAATATTGTTCTTATTATTTCTTTGAATAATGTATACTTAATGTTACTCTTCTGGTCCTGCTCACTTCACTCAGCATCAGTTCATATAAGTCTTTGCAGGTTTCTCTGAAATTCTCCTGCTCATCATTTCTTATGGCACAATAGTATTCCATTGCGTTCATATACCACAGCTTGTTCAGCCGTTCCCCCACTGATGGGCATCCCCTCCATTTCCAATTCTTGGCCACCGCAGAAGGAGCTGCTATCAGTATTTTTGGGTCCTTTGCCTCTTCCTTACTTTTCTTTGGGGCGTAGAGCTAGTCATGAAGTTTCTGGATTCCAAGGTGCACTCAGCTCGATAGCCTTGGGAGCCTTGTTTCAAATTACTTTCAAGAGAGGTTAGATTCGTTTTCAGCTCGACCAACAGTTCATGAAAGCACCTGTTTTCCCACCAACCCTCCAGCATTTGTCATTTTCTGTTCACTTGGCCGATAAATGGGTACAAGGCGGTCCCTCAAAGTCGGCTTAATTTGCGTTTCTCTGATTCTTCGTCATTTAGAACATTTTTTCATAGAGCTGTTGATGACTTGGATTGCTTCCTCTGAAAACTGCCTATCATATCCTTTGGCCATTCATCAACTGGAAAACCACTCTTATTCTTAGAAATTTGGCTCAGTCTCCTATATATCTTAGAAATGAGAGCTTTATCAGAGAAATTTGCTGCAAACATTTTACCATTTCCTGCGGCTCGTCTGATTTTAGCTGTATTGGTTTGTTTGTGCAAAGCTTTTCATTTGGTGTAATCAAATCTGCCTCTGTTACCTCCCGTGAACCTCTGTGTCCTTTTTGGGCCCGAAGCCTTCCCCTGGCCGCAGGTCTGACGGTGCTGCTTGCTTGTGATGTCAGTTTGTTTATGACGTCAGCCTCTACGCCTCGGTCACGCGCCCGCCCATCTGGAGCTTATCTTGGTAGACAGCGTGAGACGTCTGTCTGTATCTAGTTTCTGCCAGACCATTTTCCACGTTTGTTGAATAGTCCGGGGATGTTGGAGTTTATCAGACACTAGCTCACTGTGTTCATTGGCTTCTGTGTCGTGGGTACCTAATCTATTCCGCTGATCAGCCTCTCTCTTTCTTACCCAGCGCCAGTTTGTTTTTGACAATTATAGCTCTGCGGTATAGTTTGAGATCAGGTACTGCCAGGCCCCCCTCCCTGTCATTTTTTTTCATTGATTCTCTTAATATTCTTGACCTTTTGTTCTTTCAGGTGAATTTTGTTATTATTTTTCTAGCTCTATAAAATTGCACTTTGGTCGTACTCTGAAGAAGTAAATTAATTTGGTAGTAGCATCATATTGACTCAGCCTAACCATGAGCAATTACTATTTCTCCCTTTAGATCTGCCTTTATTTGCGTGGAGTGTCTCGTAATGATGCTCACGTGGTTCCGATGCGTGGCATGCTGGTAAACTCCCAAGTATTCTGCACTGTCCATAGAGATTGCAAATGGAACTTCTCCTTCGACCTCTAGCTGCTGGGTTTTGTTGGTGACGTACAGAAGTGGGTTCACTTTACGTCCTGTCGCTTCGCCAAAGGGGCCCCTTGTCTCAGCGAGTTTTGTAGTTGAATCCCTGGGCTCCCTGAGCGTCCGCCCACATCTGCAGGGGGCGAGAGCTCTGTTCCCTCTCTGCCTCTGCTTTCTTTCCGTTTCTTTTTCTCGTCTCCTTGCCGCAGCAGCCAGCGTTTCTTCCTTGCCTCTGTCAGGTGGAGTCTCTCTTGCTAGCAGCTCAGGGGTCACTTCCTGCATTTACCCTTTCCCCGTCCCTCCCAAACTCCCTCATCTTTGACTTTGTTGTTGTCGTTGTTCAGTTGCATCCGACTCTTCGTGGCCCCACTCGGGGTTTACTTGGCAGAGACACTGGAGCGGTCTGCCGTTTCCTTCTCCAGCTCATTTCACAAATGAGGAAATTGAGGCCAGCAGGGTTAAATGACTGACTCAGGGTCACACAGCTAGGAAGTGTCTGAGGCTAAATTTGAACTCGGGTCTTCCTGACTTCAGGCTGAGCGCTCTATCCGCTGCACCACCTAGCAGCCCCTACCTAGCACCTAGTAGGTGCTTAATAAATGTTCACTGATTGCTTGGCTGACCTAATTAAAGCTGTGGGGCTGGGGGATTTCAGAAGAGGCCGAACGTCTCTTCTGTTGACAGACTGTCCTCCCTGAAGCTTGACTCCCTTCTCAGAGCCTCCTAGCACCAAGGAGCTCACTACCTAGCCGCTTCATTTCCTTATTAGAGGCCCTGCCTTCCACTGAACCTTTCTCTAATGATTGACTCATCAGTCTCACCGACCTTCAGATAGAGGGGTCTCCCAGGTGGGCGGGAGGAGAGCTCGTCGTCTTCCTCAAGCGAGACATTTCCTTTCCTGGTCCTCCAGCTGTCTTTCTCCCGCTGCGGTTTCCCGGGGCCTTCACCGTCTTGGGCGCACCCTCCTCGGTATGTTTGTTCTGGTTTGTGGGCCTCTCTCTTGACTGCTCGGTGCCCACAGGGCCTCCTGGGGCTCCTCACCCTCCCTCCACCACCTCCCTCCTCCCCTACTTACTCCCCCTTACAAGTGGCTCTGCAGCCAGGCCCAGGGTGGGAGGTTGCCCAAATGGAGAATACACTATCTCCTGGCCTTCTACCATCAAGAAATTTATCACAAAGTAAGTTATAAATGTTCTAATTTATAAGTATTTATAGAGACCATCAGTGAATTCTCCATTTCCATTTTGGCCTATCCATAATTTTCCCCAAACCCATACCTTTAGGTGGCATAAGATCTGGGTTCAAACCCCACACTGCTTCCTGTGTAACCCTCAGCAAGTCACTTCACTTTGCTGGGATTCAGTTTCTTTTTTTCTTTTTTTTAAATTTCTTTTTATTTATTTATTTTGATTTAGCAACAATCACTTCCATATGCTTTTGAGTTTAAAATTTTTCTCTCCCTTCCCACCACCCTCCCCAAGATGGCGCACAATCTAATATAGACTATACATATACATTCCTATTAAACATATTTTCACCTTAGTGATGCTGTAAGTAAGAATTAGAACCAACAGGAGAAACCACCAGAAAGAGGAAACAAAACTCAACAGAAGAAAAAAAAATAGCAAATAGTCTGCTTCGATCTGCATTCAAACTCCATAGTTCTTTCTTTGGATGTGGATAGCATTTTCCATCACGAGGCCTTTGGAGATGTCTTAGATCCTTATATTGCTGAGAAGGGTTAAGTCTATCAATATTAGTCATCTCGTAATGTGGCTGTTACTGTGTACAACGTTCTCCTGGTTCTGTTCCCTTCACTCAACATCAGACCATACAAATCTTTCCAGGTTTTTCTGAAGTCAGCCTGTTCACCATTTCTTATAGCACAATTGTATTCCATTACATTCATATACCACAACTTGTTCAGCCATTCAATTGATGGGCATCCTCTCAATTTCCAATTCTTTGCCATCACAAAAAGAGCTGCTATCAATATTTTTGTACATGTGGGTCATTTTCCCATCTGTATGATCTCTTTGGGATATAGCCCTAGAAGTGCTATTGCTGGGTCAAAGGGTATGCACATTTTTATAGCCCTTTGGGCATAGTTCCAAATTGCTCTCCAAAATGGTTGGATCATTTCACACCTCCACCAACAATGCATTAGTGTTCCAATTTTCCCACATCTTCTCCAACATTGATCATTTTCCTGTTTTGTCATGTTAGCCAATCTGATAGGTGTGATGTGGTCCCTCAGAGTTGTTTTGATTTGCATCTCTCTAATCAATAGTGATCTAGAGCATTTTTTCACGTGACTATAGATGGCTTTAATTTCTTCATCTGAGAACTGCCTGTTCATATCCTTTGACCATTTATCAATTGGGGAATGACTTATATTCTTACAAATTTGATTTAATTCTCTATATATTTTAGAAATGAGGCCCTTATCAGAGGGACTGTTTGTAAAAATTCTTTCCCAATTTTCTACCTTCCTTCTCATCTTAGTTGCATTGACTTTGTGCAAAACCTTTTCAATTTAATGTAATCAAAGTTATCCATTTTGCTTTTCGTAAGAGATTCAGTTTCTTTACCTCAAAAAAAAAGGGGGAAAGGGGAGGAAAGAACCACTTATGAGGCACCTACTATGTGCTAAGTACTGTGCTATGTGCTCTACAAATATTACTTTATCCTTTCAGTGACCCTGTGAGGTAGGTGCTGTTATTATCCTCATTTTACAGAAGAGGAAACAGAGGTAGACGGTGACGTGACTTGCCCAAAATCACACAGCTAGTCAGCATCTGAGGCCACATTTGAACTCAGGTCTTCCTGACTCCAGGCCCAGAGCTCTGTCTGACCCAGTAAAGGGACAGATGATTTCAGTGGTCCCTTAAACTATGATCCTGTGAGGTGTCTTCAAAAGAAGCCAGATACTTGGTAAAAGCAGCAAAGACTTAGCCAGGCAGGCAAAATTTTGTGTAAAATCTGCCTTTCTGGAAGGTGGGGGGGGGGGCGGGGAATGAGGACCCTCAGAAGCCAAGAATCCGTCCACCAAGCCTTCACTCTGACCTGCCCCGTGCAAGTGTCTGCCCACGTGAGGGGCCAGGTGAGGGCAGGGGTGAATAGGACTCAGTATCTGTCCTCAGGGACTTCACAGTCTGGAGGGGGAATAAAATGTGTGTGTAAATAATCCACTTCAGTGAGTACTTACTGACCATTTACTATGTCTATTGTGCTAAATTTTGGGGTGGGAAGGCGTTCAAAGGCCTATAGACTCAGCTTTCAAGGAGCTTGCAATCTAATCCCTTTGGGAGGCAGTGTGGTTCAATGGAAAGAACCCTGGATTTGGAGTCACAGGGCTCCATGTGTCCTCGGGCTGGCGTGGCTGCCTTCTCTTATGTTGGGGTGTTTCTTTGACTGATGACTGAAAACAAAACAGCCACGGAATGCGTTGACAGAACGCTGAAAACTGGGTTCGAGTCTCCCCTCTGGCACACACTGACTGTGTGACCCTGGGCGAGTCACTTGCCTTCCCCCATGCTTTGCACAGCTGTCTAAGACCATAAGGGGCAGAGAAGGTCCCCACATGCGTTGGTGGAGGGTTTCCTCTTCTGGGAGTTCCCGTGCCAGTGAAATCAAATTCTCAGCCCCAGTCCTTTCTTGCCTCCTTGCTCTTCTGTCAGAGGAAAACAGCAGCCTCTTGTGAGATGGGAGGCGGCTGCCCGCGGAATGCAGCAGGAACGGAGGATTGGCAAAGGCCCGAAAACGAGCCAGAAAACGAGCATGTATTCCCTAAGAGACTTGTCACATCTTCCAGATTTGTCCTCTGAAGACAGTCAGGTTACCGTTTAGAAGACGGCATTTGGAGAGGCAGCGGGGCAGAGAGAGAGCTGGCCTCCACCCCAGAAGCCGCCTGGAGGTCGGCTGCCCAGCCATGTGCTGGTCTTCCCTGGGCAGGCCTTGTCCTCTTAGGAGTTGGAGGGAAGGTGTTCACCTGCGGCTCCTCACCCAGAGCTGCCTAGGTAGATGGAATCACCGTCTAGTTTATTTTATTTTTGGAGGCAATGGGGTGAAGTGACTTGCCCAGGGTCACACAGCTAGTGCCTGAGGCAGGCTTTTGTTTTTTTAACTTTCGTTTTTTTAAATAAAGATTTTCTCAGGCTCCTGCTAACCTAGGATCACATCCAAATCCTAACCCTTCCTCCATCTGACTTTCTCCCCGGGATGCAGACCGGGAGGCCATTTCCGAACTTGAAAATTGTCTCAAGGAAGCCCGGAAATCTGCCGGGGTGAACGCCTTGTATTATGCGGGGATGTTCCTTTGGCTGATGGGTAAAAACGAGAAAGCCAAGGAGTACGTGGACAGAATGCTCAAAGTGTCCAGCGGATCCAGAGAGGTGAGGCCCGAGCACTCCTTGGGCTGGGGGCGGGCTGGGGGCGGGCTGGGGGCGGGCAGGCAGGAAGCACGTGAGCCAGCGTGAGCACCAAGGACAGCATCCTCCATCCCCCTGGCCGTAGTGCACCAGGGAGCCCAACTCAGCAGACCCTGGGCCTCTGGGTGGAGCCTGGGCTCGTGGAGCTGGGGGAGGGGTGGGCAGCCGCGACTCCACCCCTACGAGGGCCAGCCTGGAAGTCGGGGGGAGCTCTCTGAAAGCCCCTCATTTCCCTTTGCCAGGGCTACGTGCTCCGAGGCTGGGTGGACTTTACATCTGACAAACAGCACACCGTAAAGAAGTCAATCAAGTACTTTGATCAAGGGATTCGAGACACCAAGGATGTGTTGGGCCTGATGGGGAAGGTAGGGAGGGTGGTCAGAGTGCCTTGGTCCCAGCCCCAGCTTTGCGCCCTCACTCCCAGCACGACCTCACCCTCCGCAGGCCTCTGTCCCCCTGGGCAAAGTCAGGCCCTCGGACCAGATGGTCCCCAAGGACGTCCCACCTTCTGGTCTTAGCTACATGCGAGTGCCCTCGCTCCCTGTCCTGAACGGGCCGTCTTCCCTAGAGGACATCCAGGGCCTCCTGGGCCTCCTCCCAAAGCCTCCAGGCTGGGAGATCCCCCCTGGGTGGGAGGTGTGACGTTCCCTGGCAGCCACGCCCTGGAGCCTCCCAGGCTCATCTGGTGACAAAGCCACATCCCAGAGGGAGCCGTCACCAAGGCACAGGGGCCAGGAGGAGCCCCAGGGGCCAGCCCTCAGCCGGGCCACTCTAGGCAGACCATCAGCGTCCTCCTGGAAGCTGCAGACAGAGCAGACACTGGCCCCGGCAGCAGATTGCGCCAGAGCTAAGTGGTCTCTCTGAACTTTTCTCAATAGGCAAACTATTTCATGATGCAGCAGAATTACTCGGGTGCCCTGGACGTTGTTAATCAAATAACAGTTACGTTTTGTGACTTCATCCCAGCATTTATCCTGAAGATGAGACTCTTCTTGGCCCAGCAAGACTGGGAGCAAACTGTTGAAACAGGACAGCGGTAAGGGAAGTGACCATGAGTAGCCATAGTTTCGGGAGGCTGTATTTTTGGGGTTTTTTCGCTTTTTGGCGAGGCAATCGGAGTTAAATGACTTGCCCAGGGTCACACAGCTAGTAAGTGTCAAGTGTCTGAGGCTGGATTTGAACTCAGGTCCTCCTGACTCCAAGGCCGGGATGGCGGTTTTTTTTTTTCAGGTTTTTATTTTAGCTCCAGTAGACTTAAGGATTTCACCAAATGGCAAGGAGACGGTGTTTTCCCCCTGTCTCATCCTGTGCACCCCTCTTCCCAGGGTGTCCCTAGAGGAGCTGCCCCCAGGGCAGCCCTTGGCCTCTCTGTGATCTCTCACTCCTACCAGCCACAGGAAGTGCATAATATGTGTCAGGCACTTTGGAAAAAAAGGAAAAGAGAAAGCGGGTCCTGCCCTCCAGGAGCTTACATTCTAGTGGGGCAACCAACAGGCCTGCTATAGAGGCACAGCCAAAGCCAGGCTTTGGTCACCACGAGGTGACCCTGAATTCCTCCTTGCTAAGCCTAAACGTGGTCCTCCTCTCCTGTGGGGTGGCAGAATCCTCGATGTCCCTTTCCTGCCTCTCCCCGGAGCCCTCTGGGCCCGCCCGGGCCTGACTCCTCAAAGAGAGGGGGCCCCGGGGCTGTCGGCTTTGAAGCCAACCAGCCCTCCCATTCCAGTCTCACAGAGAACTGCTCTCCTTCCTCCCCGTTTGTTCAGCTCTGCCAAGGCAGTAAGTTTGCAGCAGTTTGGGGAGTCACCTCCTCTTTCCTTTCACCCTGGCTTCCTCTCGTATCCCCGAGGGCCTCCGTAGCCCTGGGCTGCATCTTCAGCAGAGTGTGGTGGGCGAGAGCCTTGGGCCAGAGGGCCATCCAGTGAGCACCTGGGAAACCAGAGAGGGGTCGGTTCCTTGGCGCATAAGGAATCTGAAGTTCCATGATGATGGAGGCCTGTGGTGCTTTGGAGGAGCCCGAAGCACTCCGAGAGACCCCACTGTGCCTTCCAGACCACCCAGAAGGTGCTCAAAGCTGTGTTAGCCTACTCTAGTCCTGAGAATCAGCCTGAGATGCAAGAAATGCCTCACCCTGTGAGGTCAGTGCTCCAGGCGTTATCGCCATCTTACAGAGCAAAGTTAAGTGACTGGCCCAGGGTCACCTGAGTCCAAGCTCAGTGTTCTTTCTATGGGGCCACACAGATTCCAGTTGCTTTTGGGTAGAATCCAGGACTTAGCTCTGTGATCTTTAACCTGGGGCCCCCAAAAGTTCTGTGAAGAGATTCCAGGGGTTCATGAACTTGGATAGAGGTGGAAATGGCCCCGCTTCCTCCCTGAAGCTGAGCAGGGTCCCAGGGCTTTGCCAGACTGTGAGAGGGATCCACCCCAAAAATATAACATATAGTCTCTTCTTCAGCCATAGTGGGCCAGCACAGAGCATTCCAGTAATGCGAGAACCTTGGCCTGCCTCCCTGGGTTGTTTACACATCTTAGAGCAGCAAGCCAAGTGTCCAGCAGAAGGTCTGCCAGCCACCTAGTTTGCTGGGCCACACTTAACTTTGAGGAATTCCTATTCCCGTTTCAGAATCTTAGAAAAAGATGAAAACAACATCGATGCCCGTCAGGTTCTGGCCGTGCACGAGTTTGCAATGGAAGGAGATGTCAATGAGGTCAGTTCTCTGGAGGATCAAGAAATGCCCTGTGAATTATGCATTAATAACTTTGCATAATGAGTAATTTTTCTTTTCTGACACAGGCTCATGGCCTGAGCTCCCTGGTTCTTAGCCTTCAGCCATTCTGAGGTGCCATGGACTTGTCTCTCCCCACCCCTCCTGTCTTGTCTGCCCTTCCCTCCACTCGGTATTGGTTAAACAGGGCTGATTCCAACAGTGCTGCAGAAATAGAGACCTTGAGCGGTCTGGTTTCCCATCAAGGCCTCGATGTCATTTATAAAATGAGGAGCTTGGCCTAGCTGACCTCCACGGCTCCTTCTTACCAGCCGGCATTCTGGGCCCCCCATCCTGTTAAAGGAATGAGCAATGATTGGTCAGTCAATGATGGAGTACCCACAGGGTTTCCTAGTGTGGATCCTAGGCTGGGAGCTCTCTAAAGGGCAGTTACAGTAAATCTCAAATACAGACACAAACAGAAGACCCCATATCGACCCCACAGTCTAATAATGATGAAAAGTAGCTAACACTTAGATTGGGCTTACTATGTGCCAGGCACTGTGCTAAGCACTTTATAAATACTATCTTCACAACTCTGGGAGGTGGGTGCTCCCATTGTCCCCATTTTGCAGTTGAGGAGACTGAGGCCAACAAAGGTAAAGCGACTTGCCCAAAATCACCCAGCTGGTTAAGTGTCTGAAGCTAGATTTGAACTCAGATCTCCCTGACTCTAAGCCCAGAACTTTATCCACTGGGCCACCTCACTGCTTCCCAACTGCCTTATTTTCTAATTTTAGAAGGAGGTGGACACCTCCAGGCCAGTCCTTGGTGACGACTCAGGGCAGTAGGGCGGTGCTCTTGCCCTGGACTCTCAAAGTCGTGGCAGTGGGAACCAGCACTGGCAGAACCTAACGAAATGGCAGCTTCAAGTGAAGAAGCCATGGATGACATCTTCTCCAGGGGTCAGCCAGGACACCGGCCGACACAGGACAGATTTTTTTTGGCCATGACAGGCCCACAGTGTAGACAAAGACATGAGGTCCTCCTCAGTCAGCTTCCACCAACAGGAGTGGGGGCAGAGCATCCTGGGGGTCTTTGGCCAAGGGCCCACCCCAGTGCCAGGCACAGGGCCAAGGGAAGGACGATCTGCTTTGAGAGGGTGGAGGCTGCGTGTTCCCTTGACCTGGCAGTAGGAAGGACTCTTGGGCCACTCGGGTTGGACGAGATGCTGCCTGAAATGCCTTCCAGCTCCAAAGGCTCTGTGATCCCACTTTTGGGGTGCCTGTGCCTTGGGGGCATTTCACTTGCTAGGCCAGTTCCTCAGCCCATCTGTCCCGATTCCTATTTTCCTCCCGACCCCCGGGGCCCCATGCTGTAGCTCTACTGGGCAGATGTTAGAGTGTTGGGTGGGAGCTTCCTTATTGGCAAAATATGAAAATTGAGCAAGAGGAGACCTCTAAGGCCCCCTTCAACTCAAAATCTGGGGTCCAGCTTGGTGCGACCTGGGCCACCGAAGAGGCCTGGCCTCTGAGGTCCAGCTCTCTGTGCAGACTTCAGGATTCCTGTCCCTGCCCCTGCCCCTGGCCTTCCCCATTATCTCCCACCCGCAGCACCAGGCACCTGAAAGCATGCCTTGTGAGACACTTAACCCCCCACCTGCTGGGGTCCCCAGCTGATGTCCCATGAAAGGAAAGCCTCACCACTCAAGTCCCCGGCAGCTCAGAGGGTTCACTGTCAGAAAAGGGGATGGTTTGCTTTGATTTTGAAGAAGACGCTTGACCATCAGGGGCTTTGTCGCTGCACCCTCAGGACCCTCAGACTAGCCGCTGAAACCTCCTAGGTCAGCTATCTCCTCTAAATAGAGTGGAAGCTCCTTGGGAACAAGGAATGTCTGGGCTTGCACGTATGCCCCCCTGCACATCACACGTGCCTTACACAGAATAAACACCTAATGAGTGTTTTTGGGGGCAGAGGTGGCACAGTGGATAGAGAACTGAGACGAACAAGCTGTGTAACCCTGGGCAAGTCACTTCACCCTGTTTGCCTCAGTTTCCTCATCTGGAGCAGGAAATGGCAAACCAGTCCAGCATCTCTGCCCAGAAAGCCCCAAATGGGGTCACACAGGCCTGACATGACTGAACCACGAGAAGGACAAAGAGTTTTCTCATTCATTCCTCCATCGGGTGGCATCCTTTGCTGGGCAGCCCCACACCACAACGCCCCTCTCTCTATAGCCTTGAGAAGCAGCCTCCTCACTCGTGGAGCGTCAGGCACAACCGATTACTCTATTTTCTCCCAATGGTACTCACTAGAGAATCTAACCCTAGAGAATCACCCAGAGGACTGAGTGGCCGAATGACCAGCCTAGGGTCAAACAGCCAGTCTGTGTCTGAGGCAAGATTTGAACTCAGGTCTTCGCTCTTCACCACTAAGCTGTGCAGCCTCACAAAGTACAGATCGTACAAGGTCTCCCCTGTTAGATGGTGAGCCCCTTGAGGGCAGGGACTGTCTTTTGCCTCTTTTTGTATTGCCTGGTACATAGCAGGTGCTTAATAAATGCTCACTGACTACTGGCTGATGAAGTATTACAGCTAATTGATTACTGCGTGGGTTTGATCGTGGAGTTTCTGTACCTGGCAGGTAGAAAACAGTTGAGAGTGAGGCCTTCCGTTTGTTTAAAAAGCAGAAGCCAGGAGTCACGGGCACGGTTTGGGTGAAGACTTTTCTTTTTTTTTCCCCTGCAGGCGATCAATCACGTGAGAAATCTGATTAAGGCTCTGGAGACCAAGGAACCCCAGAACCCGAGCCTGCATCTCAAGAAGGTCGTCGTCATCAGCCGACTGGTAAGCAGGTCTCCCACCTCTGCAGGGAGAACGGCCCCCTTCCCCTCCTTCCTCTGTGCCAGGGTCAGGCTGACGACCCAGCCTTCCAGGCCTGACTCAGGACTCCTCCTGGAAGGCCTTCCCGGGAGCCCCCCCGGCAGCCCTTGCTCTCCCTGCTCTGTCCCCCGGAGATGCATTGCTTCTGCTTGCACATGTGAGCTCCCCAGGACAGGGGCTGTGTCATCTTTGTGGCCCCACCGGCACCAAGTCCAGCGCTGTAGGAGGAGCCCCAAACCACCCAGAGCGGGCAGGGACCGCGGGCCAAACGGTTCGGCCAGTCTCCTCAGTCTGAGTCCCAGACGGTCAGTGGCTTGCCGACCTCACAGAGACAGGAAGCTGCAGGGCCTCGACCTCTCGTCTGTCCCCCAGACGATGTTACCTCATGAACGAATGGCACGTCTACCAGAAGATCTGGGGCTTCCTTGTGGTTCTGCAAGCTGGCCAGGAGACAGGAGCCAGATGTGGCCACCCCTCCGATAATGGGCACATCAAAGGGGCAGAACTTTCAGAAAGAAGGGAGGATAGCACCACTCTAGAGTGCCCTGGTCTGGCCTATGTTCAGTTCTGGGCCGGCCACTGGCAGGCCGCAGAGCACCCAGAATAGGGCGGGCAGCATGGTTAAAGGATCAGCGGAAGGAGAGGAGGACACTCAGCAGGGGAGGCCTCAGAGCCCTCCCTGCAGCACTGGCACAGCCTGGTTCTCTGTGGACCCCGGGGGAGGGGGAGGCAGAGGGGCACATCTGAGCTCGGGCCAGGGAAAACTCTCTCGCAGTAGAATGGGCTGCCTCCCCCTTTTGGGAAATCCTCAGCAAAGGGCCGGATGACCATTTGCCAGGTCTGTTGGAGCAGAGACTTTTCCCCCAGTTTGGGCTGGACCAGACGGCCGAGGAGACCCTCCCTGCCCTGAGCTCCTGGTGCTGGATTCTGGGTCACGCCTTGTAACCCGGGCCCCAGGGGGCCTTCCTGGCGGCCTGTGACGCCGCTCACTCGTTTCTGTGGCTTGCCTGGGGGCCGGGTCCTTCCCCGCTGCTGGGGACCCTTGGGCCCGGTCAGCAGTCAGCTCCACCCACTAAGGCCCCAGCCCCATGCTGTTTTTCCTCGCAGTGTGGGAAGCACCAGATCATCCTGCAGCAGATCCACAGTTTCATCGAGCGCACCTTCCTGGCCGCGCCCTCAGATGCCCAGTTCGCCAACGAGCTGGGCTACCAGCTCATCCTTCAGGAGAGAGTGAAGGAAGCCTCTCTGTGGTACACGGAAGCCATGAAGCTGGACGAGAGCAGCATGGCGGCCCTGACAGGTCTCTGCGCAGGGCTCGGGGGAGGGGGGTGCAAGGTGAGCTAGGTCACTGCAGCCCCGGCCGTCACAGGACCCCACTTGTTATTGCCTGACTTAAATCTCCCCTTTACAACATGTATAGCCATTTCTTTACAACAAAATTTTGGCGGAATCGGCCAGGACGTTGAAAGTCCCTGACGGTCAGTGCGGTGTTCCCCGCCTGGACCTCTGCCAGGGAAGGGGGGCCTCCTTCCTCTTCATTCCACCAGAATGCAGGAAGCTGGAGGCCAGGGGCTGGCGCTTCCTGTTAGGGGCACAGTGCATGCTTGGTGAGTTCACCCCGTGGCCAGGCAGAGCTCAGGCTCAAAGAGGAATGACCCAGATGGGTCATCTACACAGGCTGCGGTCCCTAAGGCACCGCCCAGGCCTGGACCTACGACCCCTTGGGCAGCCAGGGGGGGCTGACACCAAAAGAAAGAAGGAAGGATGAGACATAGGGTCTGTCCTGGCGGGATTCTTCACCAAGACCCTAAGGGCTCTCATATTGAGCACAGGTGCTGGGGGGCCACCCTGACCCTCCCACTTTTCCTCTTACACTTGTACAAGCTTTAAATGAACCCAACAAAACATGGAAACTCCCACTAAAAGCACCAGTGTGCAGGGCCCCTGGGGGATTCAGGAAGGGCGGCATCTGCCGTGCTCAGGCTCATACAACACACAGTAAGTCTCCTCATCAGCTTACCGACTGTGAGGTTGTTCCCTTTGTGTCCTTGTTCTGCAGGCATCATCTGGTGCCAGATCCTGGAGGGCAACCTGGAGGAGGCAGAACAACAGCTGGAATTCCTAAAAGAAGTTCAGCTGTCCCTGGGGAAGTCCGAGGTCAGAGGTCGCCTTATTCCCCTCCTCCCCCACCCCGGTCTTGGGCCCCGAATTCAAATCCAAAGCGGAGGTCCTCCCGGGAGGGCTCTGGCCAGGGATCCCGGCCAGCTCACAGCCCCCAGGGCAGCCTGGGAAGAGGAGTGCTGGGGCCAAGACCTGCCTCTCCTGGGCAGGTGCTCACCTTCCTCCAGGCGCTGCTGGCCTCCAAGAAGCACAAGAGTGAGCAGGCGGCCACAGCTCTCCTCAGGGAGGCCGCCGAGCTCCACTTCTCCAGCATGCAAGGCCTCCCGCTCAGCATTGAGTACTTGGAGAAGCTGAACCCCGCCTTCCTGGTGAACATCGTGAAAGAGTACCTGGCCTTCTGCCCCAAGCAGGTGCGGGTCCCTGCCCCACGGAGCTCATTGCCAGGCTGAAAGTAGCTGTCCTTCTGTGCCTCAGCCAACACAGATCGCAGCTCCTGGGGGGGGCTAAGAAGGGGTCCTCAGGAAGGAAGAGCTGTGGCCAAACGTCCCGCCCCCGCAGCCTAGGTGGTCATCTCTGAGCTGGCCTCCAGGCCTGGAGGTCAGGACTAAACCCTTCTGGGCCTGCATATTTGTGGTTGGGCAGTCTCTCTGTACTATTCCCTTCATGTTTCTGGATATTTCGGGTGCAAAAGGAAAGAATGACGCTCCCCCAGTGTCCCCTTGCACAACGGGCTGGGGCTGTGACCAGCAGGGCATTAGGGGACAGCCCCCCAGCCCAGCCCACTGGCAGATTCTCCCAGAAGAGCCCTAGGGAAGGCTCTGAAGGCTGTCCCACTCTCCTGCTGACAGCCAGGACCACATTTCCTTCCCAGCCTAGATCTCCAGGCCAGATCATATCTCCTCTCCTCAAACAAGCAGCAGTGATCCTGAACCCGGTGGTCAAAGTGGCGCCCGCTCTGATCGACCCGCTTTACCTCATGGCCCAGGTCAAGTACCTGTCAGGTAAGCACACAGCCCCCAGCCATGATGGCCAGTCTCACACAGGCCCAAAGAGACTCGTCATGCTGAACGCCGGAGGGTCCTGGATGCTTTACATGGATTACCCCAGCTCCCCAGACTAGAGCATTCTCCCCGCTCGCTCTCAGAGCCCATCTGGGACTCCCACCTTCTCTGTAGAGCCCTCCCCAGATCCCCACCACTCACAGGGGCTGGGCCTTCCTCTGAGCCTTCACATGTGCTGCCGGTTACTCGTGTATGTGGCCGTCCCATCTTCCCAGTGAGGCCAGTGAGCCCCTCGAGAGCAGGCAGCAGGCCTTCTATTTCCATGTCCCTCCCGGGTCAATGCGTGTCCCCGGCACACAGCACAGAGCCTGCGCACAGTGGGTATTTATGAGCTACACGTGGTTGGATGAAATTCACAGTTAGTGGTCATTGATGCTGATATGAAGCTCACCTCTCGCATTCCCACTGACCATGGCTTCTCCACTAGATCCTTCCTTCCTCAAACCCCAGGAGGGGCACACAGCAGAGATCGCTGATAGCCACTGGTTGAGGAAGGGTAAAACTGGAATTTATTTTCTAATTCTTGGGAAAGCTGTAAAAGGAGAGCCTAGAGCTTGAGACAACCTTCCAGGCCCTCGGAAGGAATCTGTTTTATCCTAGAGGTAAAAGGGAACCGTCCAAGGCTTCTGAGCAGGAAAGGGATGTGGGCAGACCCCTGCCTTTGGAGATTACAGTGAAAGGAGATCCTGCAGGTAGAAAGACCCGTTAGGAGGCGATTGTAACAGCCCAGGACCCAAGCAGGGGAGAAAGGAGGCCGGTGCCAGAGATCTGGCAGCTGTTTGGATGCAGGGCTTCAAGGGGAGAAGATGCACGGCTGAGCGACTGAGCAGAGTGTGGTGCCCTCAAAGGAGAAAGGGCAGTCGGGAAGAGGGAGGGTCCAGGGGAAGATGCTAAGTTGTGCTTTGGATGTGTGGAGCTGGAGGTTCCAAGATGGCGCCCAGGGGACGCGGTCAAGACTTTCCGCTTTTCCCTAGGAGAGCTGGAGAACGCTCAGAGCGTGCTGCACAGATGCCTGGAGCTCGACCCCACCTCCACCGACGTTCACCTCCTAATGGCCCAGATCTACCTGTCTCAGGGAAACTTCACCATGTGTTCCCACTCCTTAGAGCTGGGAGTCAGCCACAACTTCCAGGTGAGGGGGCATCTGGGGGGGAGCCAGGCAAGGCCAGGGCCGAGGCTCTGCCCTCCTTGCTAGGCCCGAGGACAAACACCTTGGGCGTGCATCCCCTTCCAAAGCCCGGGTGCCCCTGGCGTCTTCTCTGGGAGGACCTAAGAGGGTCTCTACCTTTACCTCCCGGGGGCCCCTGGTTCCTCTGGGGTCCTGGGTGCTGCAGGTCCCCAGACCTCCCTGCTAAGCGTCCGGGGTGATGTTCTGTGCCCCCTGCTTGTCATCTCTAAGGATCCTGAGACAGCTGCAGCCGCGGCCCACAGGCACGTGATCTCCCCTGACTTCTTACCCTTTTGGGTGCCCTGAGCTCTTGGGCAGTCAGTCAGGTGAAGCCTGGGGTGCCCTTCTCTGAATCGTGTTTTTAAATGCACCAAATAAAATACGCAGGATTGCAAAGGAGGCTAATTGTATTGAAGTCCAGCTGTCTGTATTTTTTTAAGTTCACAGGCTCCCGCCCTGCCTCCCACCCCAGTCTAAGAACCCTTCCTCTAGAAGGCAGTTCCTCCCGGGGGCAGGAAGTATGACCTCCAAGGTCCAGTCCACCTTGTCAGATTCACCGATTCCTCGACCTGACTCCCGCGTGCCTCACAATGGGTCTCGGTGCTAGCTCGGTGCGCTAGCCATCAGCCACCAGCTGGGGCCCCAGGGAGGGGCCAGTGGGCCGCCCGGGCCAGTCACAGCCCTGGCATCCGCGGCCACGGGCACGTGTTCCCTCCTAGGTATGCGATCACCCGCTGTATCACTTCATCAAGGCAAGAGCCCTGAACAAGTCAGGAGACCACCGTGCAGCCATCAGAACCCTGAAGATGATCATGAAGCTGCCCACGATGAAGAGGGGGGAGAACAAGAAGACCGGGAGCTCCTGTATCCGGCCCAGCGAGCGGGCGTCCATCCTGCTGGAACTGGCCGATGCGCTGCGCTTGAATGGGGAACTGGTAAGAGACGCGGAGCCTTCTCCCTGCGATCTAAGTGGGAAGGACGGGAGGGGGCAGGAGCCCAGGCACAGCAGGGGGACATAGGGACACCCCCGCAGCAGCAGGCCTGTCTGAGCCCGGGTGACCAGATGCAGCAGCAGCCCGGGCTGGAGGGCCTCGAGGGATGGCCTGCAGAGCTTCCCAGAGAGGACGGGGGAGGCAGAGTAGTCACATCTTACCTTACTCTAGAAATGATTTTAATTGATTCATCAAAAATTGCTGCTAAATGTCCAATCAGTCAAATAAAAGCCTCAGGAAAATACTGACTTTAATGGCTAGAATTCCTATGGCACTTTAAAGCTTGCAACGTACTTCGTATATGTTAACTCATTTGACCTTCATAACAACACTGGGAGGTGGGGACTATTATTATTCCCATTTTACAGTTGAGGAAAATGAGGCAGATGGAAGCTAAGTGACATACTAGTAAATGTCTGGATTTGAACTCAGGTCCTCCTGACTTCACAACCGGGGCTCCATCCGCTGCTGCCACCTAGAGACCTTTATTGTAAAGACTGGCATTTCCTATGGGAGTGAAAGAATGACCCCAAACCAAGATTTCCTATTATTCTGAGTTTTCCTAGAAAACCAGAGTTACAGAGTTTGAACTCTCAGAAGCCACTCTGAGCCCTGGGATTGACCCCCAGCGCATCGCTTGGCCTGCTGTGTGCAGGGAAGGGGTAGGGAGAAGTGATGGGGCCAGGCCGGGAGAGTTGGAGCTGTTTTATTCAATTTAGCGGCCAACATTCCTCCCGGGCCTTCTCTATTCAAAGCGCTGGGGGTGCAAAGACAAGAAAGCCAACAGCCCGGGCCCACTGGGAGACAGACCACATCATTTCAGCAGGGGGAAAACACACCTAGCTGGGGGGTCGGGAAAGACTTCGCTGATGGGCAGCCCCAGAGCTGGGCCCAGGGGAGGTGGCCAGCAGGGTGAGCATCTCCCAAGACTAACAGCCTAGGCCAGCAGGGCCGGGATGGAGAGTGTGTGGAGGGGATGCAGGCAAAGGAAGGCAGGTGCCTGGTGGTGAGGGACTTTAGAGCCTCGCTGGGGCCTCTGTATTTTACCCTAGAGGCAATAGAACCAATTGTGCTGTGGCTGGGGAAGGTTGCCTTTGCTGAGGATGGCTCATAGCAGGGAGGCCCTAGGAGGCCTGTCAATTCAGAGGCTATGCAGAAGTAAGCAGGGTCTAAACAAGGGAAAAGGCTGTGTGAGTGGAGGACATCGTGGCCCTCAGACTGATCAAGACTTAGCCACTATCTGGGCATTTGGGGGAGGAGAAGCAGAGGCATCCCAGATGGGCTGAGGTTGTGGACCTGGGAGCCTGGAAGAAGGCCACCATCTGTAGAAATAAGGACGTTTTCAGAGAGAGCGACTTTGGTGTGTGTTTGTGGGGGACAGGGAGAGAGCAGGGGATAAGGGCCCCTGGGATGTCCAGGCGGAGAAGTCCAGCTATCATGGGATTGACGTGGCCGGACAGAATTCAGGAGAGAGACAAGGGCTGGACACGTGGATTTGGGAAGCGTGACCATGCAAAGGGAAGCCGGTAGAGAGGAAGAGAAGGGGGCCCAGGCAGACCCTGGGTGGACCCACCCCAGCTGGGGGTGGAGTAAGGAGCACACAGGCAAGAGAGGAAGCCAAGACAGGAGTGTCCTGGAAGCCGAGGGAGGTCCGCAGAGAGGCCGGGATGGAGGAGGACTGAGGGGGGCTCCTCACCTGAGTTGCCTCCCCCCTCCCTCTGGCTCTAGGCCAGTTCTAGCTGCTGCTGTCCACACAGGCCCCCAGGCTCAGGACATCAGATCTCCCCTTGTGCCCCCTCATGAATTCACGCCAGGGTCATGGCAGCAGCATTCTACTCATCGCCCCAACCCTGCCTCTGTCAGCTCAAGGGGCAGCGTGCGTAGTGGCTGGGGAGTCAGGAAGGCCTGGGCTCAAGGCCCACCCCCCCCCACTGACCAGCCGTGTAACTGGGCAGGTCACTTGGCCTTGGCCCCCGCAGGTGAAAGGGGGTGCATCGGAGCAGACGCTCACCCCCATCAGTACAGGGAGGTCCGTCACTGGAAATCCTACACACACACACACATACACACACAAACACACACACAAACATATAAACACAAACACACACATCCATACACACACACACACACACACACACACACACACACACACACACTCAGTACTTAGCTGTTTTCCCATCCTTCCTAATTTAATCCGGAGGGCCTGGTGTGCTTCCCTCTCTCAGCACGAGGCCACGAAGATCATGCAGGATGCCATTAACGAGTTCAGCGGCACCCCCGAGGAGATACGGATCACCATCGCCAACGTGGACCTGGCCCTGAGCAAGGGGAATGTGGAGATGGCGCTTGGCATGCTGAGAAACATCACTCCCAAGCAGCCCTACTACACGGAGGCCAAGGAGAAGATGGCGCACATTTACCTTCACACGCGGAAGGACATCCGGCTGTACATTGGTTGCTACAGGTAATGCCAGCAGCCACTCTCGAAGGCGCGGGCGGGGTCCTTGCTACCACACACCCTCAGCATCGCTTCTGAGGAAGATCTGGGGGCTGCAGAGGCAACAGAGGCAAAACCAGGGAAATCCCCCCAGGGAAGCGTGGAGGGGTCGGTGTCCCCAGCCCCCAAGCCGCACAGCCTGGACTGGGCAGGAAGCCTCACCGGAAGGAGCTCCATCCACCATTACTAGAGGGACAGATACCACGTTCATGGGAAAGACAGCCTCTCCTGAGGCAGCTGGAGTAGACGTGGCACCGGGGATGGAGTCAGGAAGACCTACGTTTAAATTCAGCCTCATGCACTTACTAGTGACCCTGGGCAGGTCACTTCACCTCTGTTTGCCTCAGTTTCCTCAAGTGTAAAATAGGGATCATAACAGCCCCTACCTCCCAGGGTTGTTGTGAGTATTCATAAAAATGCTTGGCACCATGCCTAGCACATAGTAGGCGTTCTATAAATGCTTATTCACTCCCCCTTCCTCTGCCCTGCCTCTTCCTGGGGGAGGGGAGGGGGAAGTCTCTTCAGCCTCTCTGAAGTGCCCTGGGTAGCCGGCTCCTCCAAGCCCGGATTGGCCCTGGGCTGCCATTTTCCCATTAGAGATTTTCAGTCTTACCTCCCTCCTTCACCCTGATTGGATTAAAATTTGCTCCAGGAATACTGGTTCTTTCTAATAATGATAATCTAGCTAGCATTTCTATAGTTCTTTAAGGTGGCTAAAGTAACCCAAGTAATATGTGCTATCTCCTTTGATCCTCACAACAAGCCTGCGAAAAGCAGGGAGTATGATAATCCCCATTTTACAGATGAAGAAACCAAGGCAAACAGAGGTCAGTGACTTGCCCTGAGTCACACAGATAGTGTGTGAGGCTGGATTTGAACTCAGGACTTCAAGCGCCAGCTGGAGATGTCATTTTAAAAATAAATGTAGGGGGTCATAGATTTAGAGCTAGAGGGCCCTTGGAGGGCAAGTCCAACCCTCTCATTTTACAGATGAGGAGACTGAGGCAAGCAGATGTTAAGTGACTTGTTAGTAAGTTTCTGAGGCTGGATTCGAACCCAGGTCTTCCTGGCTCTGGCAGGCCTGGTGTTCTCGGTGTCACCAGCTACCTCTCACCTTTGGAAAGCATTTGGAAACCTCCTTAGGAGGAATTATCTTTTCATTTTTCTGACTCTGCAGCATGATGAGGTTCCTGAGGGCCCTTTGGCACGGGCCCCCCTCTCCTCACATATCTTTCAGAGAAGGTTGGTCCCCTAGCTGGGACCAGGACAAAACTAGGCATGGGGAGGGGGGGGGAATCAGGTGAAAAAGGTTTACAGTTGATTCTGTAGACATCCTGCAGTGCCCTGAAAGCTCAGACGCCCTCTGCAAGCATCTGGGTGGGCAAGACTCCAGTGAGCTGAGCCTTAGCAGGGCCAAGACAGAACATTCAGTCAGTGAGCAGATGCTTGGAAAGCCCCTTCTCTGGGCCAGGCACAGTACTGGGCACGAGGTGCAGGCCAGAGGTCACCCCAGCCACCCCGGCCTTCTTCCCAAGCCAACCACCTCTAGGATGACTGAGCTGGGAATGAGACCCATCTTCTAGCCGGAGACAGAGAAGCGTCTTTGACCCTGCCCAGTACCACTGCCGCCTGAGGGATGATTTAGGAAATTGGAGAAATTCTCCAGATGTGTCAGCCTGTGGAAACTGGTCTGTGTGCCAACTTCCAAACTGGAGAATTCTCTCACTTCTGGAGAATTAAGAAGACAAAGGGATAAAGATTAGACCTGTGATTTCCTTGGCATAGGGGACTCCCAAGTGAGGAAACTCCCTCCACCAATGTAAATAGGTCCCTCTCTGCACCTGATTGTCTTAGAGGAGGGTATCTCCTTGGACAGCATCTGGAAAAGCCTCAGGACCCTATGTCGAAACAGTATTTTTAAATACATGAAATAAAACACATAAAATTACAAAGGAAACCAATTATGATGAAATACAGCTATCAAAATACTTCATAAAAAAAAAAAAAAGGTTCCCAGACCCCAGGGAAAGATCCCCTCCCTGTGTCAGAGTTTCCCGGAGCACGGGGAGGTAAGTGGCTCCTTCATGCAGGGCCCCCAGCCAGTGCGCAGCTCAGGTGGGGCTCAGCATCCTCACCCTCTAACCACTGTGTAACACTGACTTTAGAGGACACAAAAGCAGTGTGGCTAGAGATCTTCAGTGGCGTCAGCTCCAAGTTCTCACAACACCCAGACCACACCTTCCCGGTAGCTACCAGCTCCCATGTGGCTGCCCTCCTGTGGCTTCAGCCCCTCCTGGGCCTTGCCTTCCCTGCCCATTCCTGTCCCTCCCACCAGACATTTCTCCCTTTAGTTATACAGACCTGGCCAGAAGCTGCGGCCCTTCTGAGATGCGGGCATTTCTATGATGGTAGAGTCAAGGGATGGATGAGGAAGATGCCCCAAGGGGTCCGGCAGCCCACCCTCCTGTTCTCAGAAGACCTGTCCCCAAGCCTAGCCAGGTTCCCCTCTCCACACCTGAGCTCCTGTCCCACACAAACCCACCCTCCACTCCCCCATCCCAGCCCTGTCTAGATCTCAGGAGAAACATAGGACAACTGCTGACCGCTGGAAAGAGCCAGCCCCTCCTTGTCAGCTCTGTTCACCTCTTCTCCAGAAGCTCCAGTTGCCTCTGACTCTAGAACACCCTAGCATAGGCCTCTCCATGTCCTCCACAGTCTCAGTAATAGGTTGGATTTTAAATTGGAGGACCCAGAATTCGCCCTAGTGAATGAATGAATGAATGAATGAATGAATGAATGAATGAATGAAAACCTGTCAGGCACCACATTAAGTGCTAGGGATCGTGACACAAATACGTTAAGAATCCAGCGCGCTAAGAAAGGCCCAGCATACTGGGCCTGGCAGGATTTCCCACAGAGCTCTGGCTTCAGCATCCTAGGTCCTTATTATAACATCCTGGAGCTGAGCATGGTGACAGATGGAGGTGAAGATGAAGAGACTGACCCCAGGGGCATGATGTGGGTCAGGAGCCAAGAGCCAGAGGAAGGAGCTTGCTTTGTCTTCCTGGGTCACAGCAGGTGCCCTTGGCGGGCGTGTCCCTGTTTATGTTGGTGGAGGGAGTTTCCCCACATGGGAGTTCCCTATGCTAAGGAAATCACAGGTCTCATCTTTATCCCTTTGTGTTCTTAATTCTCCAGAAGTGGGAGAATTCTCCCGTTTGGAAGTCAGTACACAGCCCAGTTTCCACAGGCTGACACATCTGGAGAATTTCTCCAGGTTCACCCTGGGGCACTGGTGATGAGGGGTGTGGTGGGGTTGTATTGCTGGAAGATCAGAGGGTGATGTGAATGTGGTTAACAGGGGAGCGGAGAAGACCTTCCATGCTCGAACTCTACATGCTGAGCCCCCAAGACCCAAAGGACCCGGGCTGCAATAAAAACCCAGGGTTGGTGCCCTCAGCATCCCTCGCGCTCCAGCTTCTAGGGGGAGGAGACTTTCGCCCTCCTTAGTGGTGGTGGTCTGTGCTGACATGAGGAGAACTGCTTCTGTCCTGCTGAGGCTGAGGGAGGCAGCCCTCATGGCACCCAGGGACAGAGCTCTAGACTTAGGAAGCCCTATACTCAATTCTTGTCTCTGACACTTCCTAGCCTCAGTTTCTTCATCTGTACAGTGGAGCTAATACCCCCTGGCAGAGATAAGGTGTCTCCCATGCTTTGCAACCCTTCAAACAGAGTCTGTTATTAAGGGTGGCCCAGAGGAGGAGCCACATCCCGGGGGCCTGCCACCTCTCTATGACGTGTGACCAGGAGGTTGGGGCTAGTGACCTGGCTTCTGGTCGCTCCCCCAGCCTCACACAGGAAAGGGGCAGCCTTCCTTTGGCAAGCAAAGACATCAGATAATCAACAAGCATTATTTGCTTGCTTTGTGCCAGACTCGTGTCAGGTGCTAAGGCAAAGGTGTGGAGGTAGGAGATGGTGTGTGAGGGACCACAAGCCGGACAGTGGGACTGGCCTGTGGAGAAGAAGAAGGAGACTAATTCGTAATGCTGGACTTTGGCCCTTAAGTTATTAGGGAGCCACTGGAGTTTATGGAGGAGCTGGGGTGTGTCATGGTCAGCCCAGTGAGAACAAACATGGCCCACGTCCTCCTGTCTCTGATGAGGCAGTTAGCAGAAGGGGGAGAGGCCCAAGTTTAAACCAGACCACGGAATCGTTGGCCAACTTGGATTTCTCTGGGTCTCAATTCCTCACTTGTCAAATGGGAATAATGCTCCCCTTAGCCCCCTCAGAAGTATATTGTGAAGCTCACTCCCTGTATGGCTAGTCCCTTCCCTTCCCTGGACCTCAGTTTTCTCATCTGTAAAATAGGGCTGTCGGAACAGGTGCCAGAGAAGGTTCCTTCCGGCTCCCACACTCTGAGATTCTACGAGATGAAATAATATGTGTGAAAGCCCTCTGACTACTCCAAAAGCCCCATAGGAACAAAAGGGATTCCAATGCGGACTAGGTCTGCAGCCGTGCCTGGTCAGGCCCTGAGGCTGGGAGGCACAGGGCTCTCCTCCCTCATCCCCTCTGGTTTCTCTTATAGAGAACTCTGTGAACACTTGCCCGGTCCCCACACCAGTCTCCTCCTGGGAGATGCCTTCATGAATATTCAGGAGGTGAGTGATAGCTCCAAAGCCCCTGGTTTCCCCCCCCTTTTTTTTAAAGGCAATTGGGGTTAAGTGACTTGCCCAGGGCCACACAGCTAGTAAGTGTCAAATGTTTGGTCTGAGGCCAAATTTGAACTCAGGTCCTCCTGACTTCAGGGCCGGTGCTCTATCCACTGCGCCACCTAGCTGCCCCCCAAAGTCCCTGTTTTGTCCTTCGAGGTGGGGCTGGGGCTGCTGGAAACATGCCTTCTTTGCACCCTGCCCTGTCAGCCTGAGAAGGCTCTGGAGGTGTACGATGAAGCTTACCGAAAGAATCCTCACGACGCCTCCCTGGTCAGCAGGATTGGGCAAGCATATGTGAAAACTCACCAGTATAATAAGGTCAGCAGGGCAGGGGCAGAGGGAGCCTTGCCCACAGTCCCTTTTCCTCCACCTGGTCATGTGCAGATAACGGGGAGCAGGTGTGTGGGGGGAAGGATCTGGGAGCCCCTGGCCCCATCCAGCCCCCAGCCAGGCACACAGTGCCATCAGGAGTGCAGGGAGACCTGGGACCACAGAAGGGGGCAAGGCCTCCCTCAGGCCCAAGACTGACCCATCCACAGACACCCCCCAGACTTCAGGACTCCCGCCCATCCAGGCTTCATGTGGGGTACGGTGATGGGCACCAGCATGGGGGATCCCTAACTCAGAGAGGGCAGGAGCCTTCCAGGAGGGTCTGGAGGAGAGGAGAGAAAGATGCTGAGCGCACCTTCTGTCCCAATGGGGGACAGAATGGCTCCCCCAAGAAGCGTGGCTGCGGGAACCTTTCCTTTCTGTAACAGACAGGCTCATCGTGATGCCCAGGCCCTCCGCCAGCGCTGCTCCGGAGGCGGACCGCTGACACCTCGTGTCTTTTCCTTAAGGCCATCAATTACTACGAAGCCGCGCAGAAGATCAGCGGCCAGGACTTCCTGTGCTGCGACCTAGCGGAGCTGCTGCTGAAGCTAAAGAAATTCAACAAGGCAGAGAAGGTGCTGAAGCAGGCCCTGGACCACGACTTCGGTGCGCGCCCCTTGCAGGGTGTCCTGGAACCTCTGCCCCGCCCGCCTCATCCTCATCGCCTCGCTGTCTGCGGAGGGGCGGAGGGCCGGAGAGGGGGAGGGGCCGGAGGGGGGGAGGGGCGGAGAGGGGGAGGGACCGGAGGGGGGATGGGCGGGGGCCGGAGGGGAGGCGTCCTGGGGGTCGCTGCGGGGCCGGGCAGCCTGTGTGCATGCGCGGGGTCTGCCCCGCCCACCCCCCCCCGGGGCGCTCACCTGAGACCTTGCTCTGCTTTCTAGTGAATGACATCCCTTCCATGATGAATGACGTCAAGTGCTTGCTTTTACTTGCCAAAGTGTACAAGAGTCACAAAAAGGAAGAGGTGATGAAGACCCTGGACAAGGTAGCGCCGGTGTAGACAGGAGCTGTCCCGAGTCTCACAAAGCCCCCGGGGGACTGGGCAGCTAGCGCAGAGCAGAGCAGGGGCGCCCAGGCACACTCCGTCAAAGCGGAAGAGAATTCATTTCCTTTGTGCTTCTGGTGGTCTCAGGCCCTTTACCACTCTGAGGTGCTGTGACTGAGTCGCAGTTCGTGGGTGGTCCTTGAGAGACAGCACGGGGAGTCAGGGAATCCCGCCTCTGACACTTGTTGGCTGGGTGACCCCGGACAAGTCATTCAGCCCCTCTGTTGCCATCCTCCTCCACGGGATGGGCACCGTGAAGGCCCCTCCCTCACAGGGCTGTTGTGAGCAGTAAATGAGATCGTGGGTACAGAATGCTTCGTCACTTTGTTACAGCAACGTCATCTTGTGTTGTTCTTACTTCTGACGATGGCCTCCAGCTCCGCTGGCAGGCACTTCGAGGGGGTGACTGAATGGATTTGGGGTGCCAAGGTCAGTGCCCGGCATTTGAATGTGCCCTGATGGTCCCTGCAGGCCCTGGACATCCAGTCTAGGATTCTGAAGCGGGTGCCCCTGGAGCAGCCTGAGATGCTCCCCTCCCAGAAGCAGCTGGCCTCCTGGATCTGTGCCCAGTTTGGGGAGCAGCACCTCTCCGAGCGGGATTACCCCAAGGCTGTCAAGGCCTATAAGGACGCCCTGTCCTACTCCCCGATAGACAACAAGGTGAGTGAGGGCTGCAGCCAGAGCCAGCCTGGCCTCTGCCAAGAACCCAAAGCGGCTCTGGGCTGGGACCAGAGCTGGGAAGGGTGTGTTCCTTCTCCTCCTGCTCGTCCTCACTTGTTCCTTGGAATCCTTCCAGAAGGGCCAGAAATAGAAAAGTCGTATTTGCAATGCTTTTTTTTTTTTTTTTTCCATAGTGAAATGACTTTCCTTGTAATTCTAGACAGCATTCCTGTGTAGGAAAAAATGCCCTCTGAATGTGATTGAACCAGCCAATCAGAGCCTGCCCTGGGAATTCCTGGGAGGCCTTCCCCTCTCAGATTACTTGCCATCTACTCTGTATGTATCCTGGAGGCTGTCCCTAGTATTCACGTTAGAATGTCATCTGAAGGTATTAAGCACCTACTATCTGCCAGGCACTGAGCTAAGCCCTGGGAACGCAAATTCAAACAAGACAGGGTCTGCCCTCAAGGAGCCTACGTTCTCCTGAGAAAGAAAGGGGAGGACTGTGAGAAGGCACTCACAGAATGGAGAAGTCCCAAGAGGTTCTAGCGGGTGGCTGGGGGGACGTGAAGAGCTGGCTGGCCTGAGCCCTCGTTGGGTGGAGTTTGGAGTTGTGGCTTTGCTGTCCAGTCAGAGGGGCAGACGGCACTGCGCTTGCTGGACGATGAGATCCCCCAGTGACGGGATTCCTGGGGGAAAGGAGGACAAGTGCATCCAGCCCAGTGGGCCTGAGGCCCTTCTCTGGATCGCAGTGCCTGGCACACAGGAAAGCAGTTAACGGATGCTTATTGACTCACCTGAATGACTGATTTGATTGGATTTAGGTTTTTTTTTGAATTACTGATTTTATAAAGTCAATTCAACTCAATTCAATTCAACAAGCATTTATCAGGCTCTGTGCCAAGTGCTGAAGAACAAAAACTAAAGCAATCCCAGCCTCGAGGACCCTGTACTGGGGGGAAGGGGGGCCTGGGAGGGGCAGTTGGGGGTTTAAGCTATGTACACACCTAAGTAAACATCACAAGTAGGGCATCCTGGGAGGGCTTCCTGTAGGAGGCAGCCTCTCAGTAGAGCCTGGACAGTGAAGTGCAAAGGCATTGTAGGCATAGAAAGGGACCACTCACCGAAGGCACAGAGACAGAAGAGTCAAAGTCAAGTGGGGAAACTGTAAGAGGGAGTAACCTGAAGTCAGGTTGTGGAGAGCATTAAAAACCCCAGGCATTTGCCCTAGAGGCAGTAAGCGGGCTCTCAGAGCGTCGGGCTTTACCCAGGGGTGCCCGAGGGCATGTGAGGACAGGCCAGGCTGGGTGAAGGCAAGGAATCGTTTTATACAGAGAGACCTGGTGCCCGAGATGCTTTACCAAAGCACCCAGGACCACCCCGCCTTGAGCGGAAAGCCGCCCCTCCTCCCGTGCCCCTGCAGGTCCTCGCTCCATTCTCACCGCACTGCCCCACAGACCGCATTTGTTCCTGTGCTCAGAGACTGTTTATAAAGGTCCTCCAAACGTCTGGCATCCTTGTGCTCCCTCCACAGAAATGGGGTGACGATGATGAGCATAGTGCCTCGCAAGAGGGTTTGACACTCCAACCCAGATGACTGAGGAGCCCCAGCAGGGACGTGGGTCCTGGCTGGTGAAATGTTCTCCTGAGCCAGAGCCGGGGGCCGATGGGGGCGCTGAGTGGGGAGAGCTCCTACGTGCTGGGAGGCCCCAAGCAGAGAAGTGTGAAGCCCGATCCAGATGTCTGGGGTTCTCACTCTGTGGGAGGAAGGGTAAACAGACCAGGGAAGAAGGGGGGGGTCAGCAAAGTGTCCCTTCGAGCAAAAAGCTGGACCCCAGGCAACATAGTGCCGGCCCCATACTGACTGGAGGACCGGGCAGGAAGACTGGAAAGGAGGAGCGTCATCAGGCTTGAACAGGGTTCAAGGAGGAGGCCTGTCCCCATTCCCCTGCCCCAAATTGCCTTGTGGTGATATTCCATGTTTTCAAGATGGGAGCCGGAGAAGTGTGAGGGACAGAGAGCTGCTCCTATGGTCAGAAAGACCGAGGATGCTGCCCCTCCCCCAACCAGGCCAGGCCCCAGTGTACATCAGTGACATCACAGGCCCCCCTGCACAAACCAGACAATGTATGCTGCTCTCTGCTGGTGGAGCCTTAGGGCAGCCCCTGCTCTGCCCCTCTCTCAGGGCACCAGGCCCTGAGCTTCCGCACTGTCCTTGGGGATGGCCCGCCACACTTCTGAGTCCTTGATGTCTCTCTCCTCGATGGAATGGAAGCTCCTGGAGAGCACAGACTGGTCATTTTTGCCTTTGTATCCCCAGGGCCTGGCACACAGTAGGTGCTTAATAAATGCTTATTGAAGGATTGATTGGAGAGGTCTCTTTATGAAGAGTATAACCATCCACTGATACCACATTTGAGACTCTGATGGGCCTTTTTAGGATGATTATTTGAGTCATATCTGGATACACAAGTCACGTTCTTGGAGATGGCCTTTAAAAGAGAGAGCAGAGGGGCAGCTAGGTGATGCAGTGGATAGAGCTCTGGTCTTGGAGTCAGGAGTACCTGAGTTCAAATCTGGCTTCAGACACTTGACACTTACTAGTCACTTAACCCTGACTGCCTCACCAAAAAGAGAGAGAGAGCGAGCAGAGAAGAGAGGGGGAGATGCAGAGACACAGACACTAGCTCTTTGGAGGAAAGTCTGGGTAGCCCTCCATCCCCTTGGGGAAGCGTGGCGTTGGTCTCCAGAGAGGAAGAACCATATGGCTCCCCCACTTCTATCAAAACAACCCTGTAAAAGTATAAATATTCTTGTCCCCATCTTACAGATGAGTACATAGAGGCTAAGAGGGCTTAAATGACCAACATCTGGTCACCCATCGACTAAATCTTATGATCACGGATTTGGGAATGGAAGGGACCTTAGAGGCTGTATAGCCTAACACTCTCATTTTACAGTTGAGGAAACTGAGGCCCCAAGAGCTCCAGCTGCCCCCACCCCCACTGTGCCAAATAACAGATGAGAATCTCCAACCCAATGAGCCTTTGCCTCCCCGATCTCAATGCGGGTGAAGGCGTCCTCCTGGCACTGGTCAGCGAGGGAGCCCCGCCAAGCCACTGCCCTTGTCTCACCAGGTGATGCTGGAGCTAGCTCAGCTGTACCTGATCCAGGGGGACCTGGATGCCTGTGAGCATCACTGCACCATCCTTCTGCAGAGTGACCAGAGCCACGAGACTGCCTGCGTGGTAAGGGCTCCCGGGGCTCCCCCTCCAGCCTGCGGAGGCAACGTCCAGGCAGAGGCAGGGGGTGTACTCAAAAGATCTCTTGGCTATTTTTTTCCCCGTGTTTCTTAAAAGGGATATCCCATGGGGGAAGAAACCCAGTAGGCAAGTAGCAGGTCCATGCTGTTTCCACAGACACCTGGGGGGCTCCCGAGGGCCCCTCTAGCCCCACCCTCTCCAGCTGGGAGGCATATGCAGCGATGGGGCAAGGCAGCTAAGATGGGGCGGGGCAGCTAAGGAACCTCAGAGTCAATTAAATCCACAGACAATTAAATCCAAAGGCCTCATGGCAGCCCCGCTTCCTCTGCCTCTCCTTTCACCAGTAGGCGCATTTCTGAATTTCTAGCTGCTCTGAGTTCTGCCCCCAGTCCTGGTCCCTGCCCCTGCCCAGCCTCAGGTGAGGGAGCAAAGGGAGAGGGAAGGAGGCAAAGAGCCTGGATACCCGGCCCTGACTGCAGTGATCTCAGCATTAGCTCAGGGAGGAGGTTAGGGGATAGAGAGAGAGCTGGTCCTTCAGCTGCTCTGGGGCTCCTCCATCTCCCCAGGGCCTCCGTCTGGCCTCCATTGGAGGCCCCCATGGCGGCAGGAGAGATCCCCAGCTCTGGCCACAGGACAGCCGCAGGGAGGGGTGGAGGCGTCCGGCTGGAGGCCACGTCTGCCCAAAGAACCTCAGTCCAGCACAGCCTCTTAGCTCTGCAGTGCTCAGGGCTTACATTCTATTACTAACGGGGCTCTCCCAGCTGTTGAAATGAAAGCTGAAAGATAGCTGCATTCTCCCATAGATGATGGCAGACCTGATGTTCAGAAAACAGAAATATGATGCTGCTATCAATCTGTACCGTCAGGTTCTTGAAAAGGCCCCAGGTAACGAGCCAGGCCCTTCCTTCCCCCAGTCCATTCTTCCCCTGGCCCTGGGCACCAGTCCTGGAGGTATCTCCTATGCCTGGACCCCCCTGGACATATGCCTCAGTTTCCATTTGTAAAACAGGGATTAGAATTCCTTCCCGAGGGATCGAGGAAGCTCCCAAAGCCCGTGGGATCTGGGGCCGAATTATCAGGAGTTGAGCGTCCACAGGGAGGAAGCAGCAGCCCCCTCCCTGTATCAGGCCCTCGTCTAGATGATCATAGCCTTTAGTTCCGGGTGCCCCAAGTGTGGTAAAGAGACGTGAATGACTACAGCCCATCCAGAGGAGGGCACCAAGGATGGTGAGGGGGGCTCAAACCTGTGCCGTATGAGGCCGGGTGAAGAAATCATTGTGCTCACGCTGGAGAAGACAAGAGGAAGGGGAGAAGTGGTAGCTCTCCTCCAGTCTGTAAAGGGTTGCCCTGTGAGAAGGGGTCAGGCACAGCCTGAGTGATTGTAGAGGGCACGGAATCGGGGAAGGCCCAGGGGCCATTCACCTCCATCTGGGGAAAAGCTTCCTAACAGCTTCCTTGGGAAGGGGGGAGTTCCCTGGCACTGAAAGTGTTCGAGGGACGAGCGTCCTCCACCAGCTTCTGCTGACCACCAAGAGAAGCAGCCCGTATATCAGAAAGGACGTTGGACTTGGGACCAGAAGGGACCTGGATTCCAGTCTAGCCTCTAAAACCTACTGGCCACGTGCCCTTTGGCAGGTCATTTAACTGCTTCATGTGTCAGTTTCCTCATCTGTAAAAGCACCTGCCTGCTCTAGAGCGAGGTTCAGGGCATTTTAGCTCATGGAATTGTTACTTCTGTGCACACGACTGTCAGATCCATGGATCCCACCTCAGTCTCTTCTGAATGCATCTGGCATCTCCAGCCAGCTCTGAGGAATCTCCCCCCAAATGTCCCATCAACACTTCAGAGTTACTGTGTCCAAAATTTAACCTGCCCCACTCCCCATCCCTCTCATGAAATCCCAGGAGGAATAGGTTTGGGGGGAGACAGAATGAGCTCAGTTCTAGACGTGTTCTACCCAACATCTGGGTGCAGAGAGCCATTGGGCACCTGGTGATGGGGCTAGAGCTCAGCTGAGGGACCTGGGCTTGAGACTGAGCTTTGGGTGATCTCGGGGGCCAATCCATGGGCCTACACAGTGCCTCATGGAGACCCATCTGTCACCTAAGAGAATTCACTGTGACCTGGTGCCCCCAGCTCTGCTTCCTGGACTTGACCCCTCCCCAGGCAGGATTGGCCACCCCTCCCTGCCAGGATCAGCCATCAGAAGCAGGGTCTGCCACGCAGGGCCATCTGGGGTCTGTTTCTCTACAAGACCCCCCCATCTCAGCTCTCCTGTCCCCCACAAATCCTTAAAAACCCAGGCCAGCATTCTGCAGGGACATGTAGCGTCTCCAAAGTCAGCAGGGTGTGCAGACAGGCCTTCCTCCCTGGCCAGTGGCCAGTAAGGCCTGTCCTCTGACCCTCCCCTCCTCTCACCCACGGCCCTTGCTGCAGCAGCACAGCTTGATGGTCACCAGCCTCAAAACACTGAACCACAGCTGTCTTCGTTTCTTCAGACCCAATGACCCCCGTTCACAGACACAAAATGGCAGAGCTGACAGGGCTGGCAGGCCACCCAGCCCAACTCCTTCATGTGACAGCAGGGGAAACTGAGGCCCAGAGAAGTTGCAGACTTTCCCCAAGGCCCCACAGCTAGCTAGTGGGAAAGGGGACCTCCCAACCCTCGTCCCAGGGCTCTCTCCCTTCTGCCTGAGTCCTTCTGATTTCCCTCCGTCCCATCCGAGAAGCACCCAGGAAAGGTGAAAGAAATGAGTTGATAGAAAGTGGCCTTCCCATCACTTGGCTCTTCTCCATGTGGCCCCTTGGCTAGAGAGCCTGGGAATGGAAGCAGGGCCCTGAAAGGAGCATCCCAGGCCAGGAAGTAGAGGGAGAGTGAGGACCTGAACCAGTGTAGTCAGCTCCCCCACAGAAGGCGAGTTTACAGTGTGATTATAATGCAGAGTGCAGCTGGGGGCAGGAGGGGGCCTTCCTCCCTCCCCCATCCAGAGATAGTAAGCAACTCAATGGCGGTTAACCAAGATGTAGAGCCAGGGCACACCCCCAGGGATGTCTAGTTCACCCCTTCATTTTACACGTGGGAAAACTGTTCGTCGAGTGGCTGGCGCAAATTTTCCTAGGCAGTAAGAGGCAGAATTTGAACCCAGGGCTCCTGACTCCAGATTCAGTCCTGGTTCCACTGTACTACGCAGCCCTCACCCAGGCGAGCCCTGGAGCTTTGCCCCAGCTGGGTCTCCCCTTCTCGCCCCCAGTCCCCCATTCCGTGACCCAGGATGCTGAGTCTCAGGCCTTGATGGCCATGGTGGCCCTGCCCTTCTTGTTTCTTAAGACAATTTTTCAGTGTTGAACAAGCTGATTGACCTGCTAAGACGGAGCGGGAAGCTTGAGGACGCGCCAGCCTTCTTTGAACTGTCCAAGAAAGTGTCCAGTCGGATCCCACTGGAGCCAGGTTTTAACTATTGCAAAGGCATCTATTGTTGGTACGTTTCCATCGGGGTCTCTGGCCTGGGCGGGGGCGGGGATGGTCACCAGGCAGCCTCTGTTCACTCTCTAGCACCGGCTGGCTGCAGCCCCCATCCCCAGACCGCTAGCCAGGCTCAAGGCCTGGAGGCTGGCCCCTTCTCTCTGCTTCTCCTGCTCCCTCCAGCTGAGCACGAGCCTGCTGGGGGCTGGGGGCTAGGGCGGGAGCAGGCGTGCCTTCTCCTGGCACTAGCCCTGAATGGGACAGTGCACCAGTGGCTTTCAGTCCAGGGCCATTTGGGCATCTTTTCAAACCAATAATCCCTTGCCGTCTTCTCATGCTCCCTGGGTCGGCTTTCCCCACTCAGTGATTTGTCCTTTGCCTGAGCTGGCCAGAGCCCCAGCCCTGCATTGTCCCCGTCATCTTCTCGGTCCAGCCCATCTGAGCCTCTGTGCAGGGCACTGAGCTGGGCCCTCGATCTCGAGGCAAAGACCACAGGCCATGATGCCCAGAGCCATAACCAGTCACTTCAGAGGCCCCAGCACAAAGGACGCTCACCTTGACCTCATAGGACCCAAGTTCTAGTCTCGGCTTAGCGGCCACCTATGCTGCCTGGGGGACCTTGGACAAATCTCCTTGTGGCTCTGGGCCTCAGTTTCTTCATCTGTAAGAGGAAGGGGCCAGACTGAATGATTGCTGAGGTCCCTCCCAGCTCTATGAAGGAGCTCATTATCTGGCTGCCTTCAGAACTTAAAAGCACTTTCCTTAGAACAACCTTGTGGGGTTCTTACCTCAATAGGGATAGGGGGTAAGGTCAGAACCTGGGAGTTTATCAAAAGAAGGCACTCCCAAGTGAGAAGTTCCCTCCACCAATGCCGGCTGGCACCGCCATCCCTGAGAGCCCTGAGAAGTGATTTCGTGGTCGCTCAGCTAGGATGTGTCAGAAGGCAGGACTTGAGTCTAGGTTTCCAGATGGGGAAACTGAGGCTGGGACATGCAGCCTAGGGGAAGAAATCCAGCATGTAAGCGGAATGTGTTTGTCCAGTGAAGGGCTCAGACTTGCCAGAGCAGTCCATAGGTAAATAATAATAATGACCGTAGCACCACGGGGTATGCTGACCAGCATCCAGGGAAACACTGGGTCATTAAGATTTGCTTGGCAATGGTCTGGCATTGCCAGTCAGCGCCCCTTGCTCCTGCCCCCTCCCCCAGGCATGTCGGACAGCCCAACGAAGCCCTCAAGTACCTCAACAAGGCCCGCAAGGACAATGAGTGGGGCCAGAGGGCCACCTATAACATGGTGCAGATCTGCCTCAACCCGGACAATGAGATCATGGGGGGAGAGGCGCTGGAGACGCTCGCCATGGAGAACAGGTGACCCTTTGGCCAGCAGCCCCTCGGCCCCAGCCCAGGAGGGGAGTCATTGGGCCCAAGCCAGCTGGCTCCACTAGGGGCAGACCCAGCTGGACCCCAGCCCCAGGGCAGGGCCCTCTCTGGGCACACAAGGGCAGCCCTGTAACACGGCCTGTGGGCACCGTTGCTTCTCCCTTCCCAGCAGCTCCACCGAGAAGAAGGAGTCTGAGCAGCTTGGGGTACGCACTGCGGAGAAGCTCTTACGGGAGTTCTACCCTCACAACAAAGAGGGGCAGGACCAGCTGAAGATGCTGCAGAGCTACTGCCTTCTGGCCACCAAGGAGAAGTCCAACGTGGAGACGGCCCTCGGGGCCTTCATTGAGATGGCCCAGATGGAAGTAAGCGCCTGCCCCTCCAGGGCCTGGGATCACAGACTCCGCCTGTGCCCCAGCCTGGTCACATCCGCCTGCAAAGGGAGGAGCCGCAGGGACCGCTGCACCTCGGCATCCCCGGGTCTTCTAGAGGCGGGGCCCCTGGGAGACCCTCCACGGTGTCAGGTTGGGGCTGCCAAGCCTGTCCTCACTCGGTCTTCCTCTTCCCTGGAAGCGTCTGCCCTCCATCCCAGAAGCAGCTAATGTCCTGTGCTGTCTGCTGCTGAAGGTCACTAAAGGACCACTAGACATAGGGAACAGCAGTCCTCTGGATGTGTGCATGTGCACGAGGGGTGTGTGTGTGTGTGTGTGTGTGTGTGTGTGTGTGTGTGTGTGTGTGTTTGTACATGCGCATATGCATGCATGTGCATGTGTGTGCGTGTGCACATGTGTGTGCGGGTGCTGCTGTCTGTGAGCATAGGTCTCTCTGAACTGTTTGGTGGGTCTATTCTGCCCAGAGATTAGAAGGGAGTGCCGATGCTCCTGGGCCCAGCTGGGGGAGAAGCTGGCCCTCAGCTGGTACGGGAGGTGTCTGCCCACCTGACCTCCCGTAGTCAGAGAGTCCCAATCTTTTGGGCACAGAGGGTTAGCTGCCTGGGCTCTGAAGGATGGCCTGGAGTTACTCAGAGCACAGCCGTGGCGTGCTGGGTCGGGGGGTTCCATTCTGAGGGGAAGGTTCGTAGGAGGGGCTGCTGCCCAGGGCGGAGCAGTGAGGACAGTCTTGGCAGCCCCAACCTGATTCGTCCAGGGTCCTTGGAAGGTCTCAACTGACAACCCCGAGGCTAGGAGTGACAGTGGGCATTGGGCAGCTTTGCCCTCCCCTGTGAGGCAAAGAAATCCACGTGGTGTGTCCCTGGGCCCCAGACTCTCAGGGCCCCTGGAGCCTCTGGATGGGGTGGCATCGGGCCCTTGGGGGCTGGGTTTTTTTCCCCAGAAAGAAAGTGTCTCAGCCCTCCTGGCGATGGCCCAGGCCTACACGATCCTGAAGCAGGTCCCCAAGGCCCGCACTCAGCTCAAAAGGCTGGCCAAGGCTCCCTGGGCCCTGGCCGATGCAGAAGACCTGGAGAAGAGCTGGGTTCTCCTGGCCGACATATACTGCCAAAGCGGCAAGTTTGACATGGCCTCTGAACTCCTTCGCCGCTGTGTTCAGTACAACAAGGTAGGCTGGGCCCCTCCTGCATGAGGCTGAGGAGAGGGACAGGCCTTCAGCTCCCCGCCTGGGATCTCACCCCCTCTACCAGAGCCGCTTAGAGCCCTGACAAGGCCTAGTGATGTACCCAGGGTCACTCAGCCAGTCCTGGTCAGAGAAGGGCCTAGAACCCAGGCCTTCCTGTCTCCAAGGTTAGCTCCCCATTCATGACAACATACTGCCTGCTTTTAAAGTGGGGGTGCGAGGCAGTCCCAGGGGGCTCTTTCTTGCCTAGGAGATTTCTGAGCACTGTCCATGTGTGCTCCCATCTCCTCTCCCACTGATCCAAATTACATGCCTGCAGAGAGGGTCAGGCATCACCTCACAGATGAGGAAACTGGAAACCAAAAGGAAAGTGTGACTTACCCAAGGCCCTGTGGCTGGTTAGGGTCAGAACAAGGAGCCTCCCGGGAGAGCACAAGGGTGAGGAAGCCCGGGTTCCAGGCCCAGCCAGGAGCTCACTGCCCGTGGTTTCTGCCTCTGCCAAATGAAGAGCTTAGACTAGACCTTCTCTGAGGCCTCTCCCTGTTCCTGGACCAACCCAGGCTTCTGGGGTCAAGGTCACTCCTTCCCTGCAGACCCTCCTGTGCAGGCCCAGCCTCATGGCTGTAACAGGTGCTGTCTTTGCAGTCATGTTGTAAAGCCTATGAGTACATGGGCTTCATCATGGAGAAGGAGCAGGCCTACAAGGACGCAGCGAGTAACTATGAGCTGGCGTGGAAGTATAGCAACCGAGCCAACCCTTCCATCGGTGAGCCGCCAGCCCAGGCGCTGTGGGACGGGGGCTTGGGCTGAGAGAACCGCCCCCCCACTTGTCTGAGGAGTCTGAGCAGCCATTGGCTTTCTCCACCATCAAAGGAGCCTGGCTGGAGCTGGCTGGGCCTGCATGGGCTGGGCTGGGCCTGGCTGCCCTGCGCTGGGCGGGGCTGGGCTGGGCTGGGCCTGGCTGGAGCTGGCTGGGCCTGCATGGGCTGGGCTGGGCCTGGCTGCCCTGCGCTGGGCGGGGCTGGGCTGGGCTGGGCCTGGCTGGAGCTGGCTGGGCCTGCATGGGCTGGGCTGGGCCTGGCTGCGCTGGGCCTGGCTGCACTGGGCGGGGCGGGGCTCAGCTGGGCTGGGCTGGGCCTGGCTGGAGCTGGCTGGGCCTGCATGGGCTGGGCTGGGCCTGGCTGCCCTGCGCTGGGCGGGGCTGGGCTGGGCTGGGCCTGGCTGGAGCTGGCTGGGCCTGCATGGGCTGGGCTGGGCCTGGCTGCGCTGGGCCTGGCTGCACTGGGCGGGGCGGGGCTCAGCTGGGCTGGGCTGGGCCTGGCTGGAGCTGGCTGGGCCTGCATGGGCTGGGCTGGGCCTGGCTGCGCTGGGCCTGGCTGCGCTGGGCTGGGCAGGGCTGGGCCTGGCTGGAGCTGGCTGGAGCTGGCTGGGCTGAGCTGGGCCTGGCTGGATCTGTCTGGGCCTGCATGGGCAGGGCTGGGCGGGGCTGGGCGCGGCTGGGCCTGGCTGGAGCTGGCTGGGCCTGGCTGCGCTGGGCGGGGCTGGGCGGGGCTGGGCAGGGCTGGGCCTGGCTGAGCTGGGCCTGGCTGAGCTGGGCCTGGCTGGTGCTGGCTGGGCCTGCATGGGCTGGGCTGGGCCTGGCTGCGCTGGGCTGGGCTGGGCCCTGCCAGCCTGAGACCTCCAGGAGCCACACAAAGCTTGTAAGGGGGGCTGGTGGAGACTGTGGACAGTTCCTGGTGAGCAGCAATGGTAGGCAGTCACTTGCACTTTCTTCTACAGGTTTCAGACTTGCTTTCAACTACCTGAAAGACAAAAGATTTGTAGAAGCCATCGAGGTTTGCCACAGTGTAAGCTACCTCTTTGACCTAAGACCAATTCCTGCCTTTGGCCCAGTGGGCGAACCCCTACTGATGGTGGCTTCCCCTCCCTTGGTCCCCAGGTACTGAAGGAGCACCCCAACTACCCGAAGATCAGAGAAGACATTCTGGAGAAGGCCCAGGGGTCCTTGCGGCCCTAGCTGGAGCCGGGCTGGGCACTGAGGACCAGTAGGATCTGCTGGACAGGGCCCAGCCTAGAGGAAGGTGGGGGCTGGGGTATACAGGGACCTTGTTGGAAGGAGAAAGACAGGACCTTCCCCTCGTCAAGGCTGCTCTGGGAGCACCTGCACCATTAGAATTTTAAATTTCAAGGACCACATGATCTTTCTCGTTCTGCACTCTGTACCTAGTTGGTTTTGTTGTTTTGTTTTGTTTTGTTTTTTTAATAGCAAAATAACGGGTATATTTTCCACTAGGTGAAAAAAAATGGTCACTAGGAGATCTAAACCTTTTATTTTGGAAATGACAGGATTAAGAGTAGAGAGACCTGACTCTCTGACCTGAAGCTTTAGGTCCCTTTCTCTCTATGGGCCTCAGTTTACCCATCTATAGGAAGAAAAAAAGGAGAGGAGGAGATATTGGACTAGATAATCCCCTAAGGTCTCCTCACACTCTAGGATTCAAAAATTCAAAGTTTCATGTCATGTCTTGCATTTAATCTGTAATGTGGTCACAGGGTCATAGATGTTATCTTTATCTGGTCATCTGGTCCAACACTCTCCTTTTTCATTTGAGGAAACCAAAGGCCAGAGAGGTTTAAGTGATTTGTCCAAGGTCACTCAGGGAGCAAATCAGAGAGCTGGGATTCACACTCAGGACCTCTGTCAAAATACTTTATCTATGATGTCCAGAATGTGCTCTGAGCGTGAGATGTCTGGAAATGTAACAGAGAAAGTGAAATCTAAGCAGCCCCTGGTCTAATGTGTCCCCCGTCCAGTCAATACCTGTGCCACCTTCTTGAGCATTGGGCCTCTCATCCACTCCTTCCTAACAATGAAGGAGGGAGAAAAATGATTCCAGTGGGCTGTTCACCTCAGATCAACTCAACCAGCATGATCTGAGGACCGAAACTCAGCTGAAAGAAAAGGGGTTTGCAGGGCCAGGCGGATGGGGAAACGCCAGAGCTGTCTCCAAGTGTGCCAGGGGTGGTTGGTTGGGAGAGGGCCCCAGAGGGCAGAGCCACAAGGATGGGGGAAGGGTTGTAAAGAAGGAAGTGAGTGCTGGCTGCGTGTCAAGGCAGTCAGAGCTGTCCAGAAGCACAGAGGCTGGCAGGGGGCTTCTGGCCCCTGGAGGTCTGCACAGGCCAAGGCTGAAAGGGGCAGTGTTGTTGCAGGAAAGCCTCATGGGCTGTGGCCTGCACTGAAGGAAGGCTGGGCTTGGACATGTGGCTGCCGGTCCTCTCCCTACCCTGGCCCTGACCTTCTCTGCCGGAATGTTGTTGGGGGCTGGGGCTAGGGAAGTCGGGGAGATTAAACCAAAGGACAGCATTGAGACTCTCTTCTCCAAACCTTACACACACACACACACATTATATATTATGTTTTATATATATATTTATATAAATACATATATATTGGCCCTCGGAATGAGCTTGGCGCTTCTGTTGGCCATAGGGAGAAGGGAGACTCCCCCAGCCATGAGCTGTTCGCATGTGCTGCGTGCCCACTGTCCTGGTCACCTTCTCTCACCAACGTGTGGGGTGTGTGTGTGTGTGATAGGATGCTGCTAAGGAAGCTAGGGCAGGGTAGTGGACAGGACCCTGGATTGGCGGTCAGGGCACGGGATCAGTCCTGCCTCTGCGGCTAGCCAGATGTGTAATCTTTGCAAAGTCACTTAAGCAGGTCAGACTTCCCTAAACAGAAAGTGGGACCATTAAACCTTCCGTTCAAATGACTTCTAAAGACTGAGAAGACAAATAAAACGATTGTGAATTATATGTGTAATTAGTGTTTATCATGGGGTGTTAATTAACATTTATTGTGGCAGTCTTGATTTGGGGTCACATTTAGGATGATGTGTGTACACGATGTGTACGTGATATGCCTGTCACGTTTAGGATGTGACGAGGATGTGATGAAGGCATCACTTGATGGGGCTGTACTTTAGGGGCCCCTCATGTACAGGGACCATGTTTAGAGCATTTGAAAGAGAGATTTCCTGCTGTGGTGGAGAGATCAGTGGCCAGGGAGCCAGGCTGTCCACGTGCTATTTGTGTATCTGCTTCTCATTCACAGGCAAGCTCTCTCTGAGCCTGTTTCTTTGTCAAATCTTACCTCATTACCTTATCTAACCCTATCTACATATTCCATAGAAGGAATATGTCTTCCTTCTATGGAATACGTGGGCTTCAAGGTCCCTACAAGGTCTAACATGCTGTGACACAGGGCAGAGCTTAATCATTCAAAAGGAGCGTGGTACAGGGGACAAAGCCTGGCTCCAGATTCAGGGAACCCACATCCTGCCACTGATCTTTTTACCTGCATGACTCAGGACACCTCCTGGGACTCAGCTTCCCCATCTGTAAAATAGGCAGTCAGAGTTGATGCTCCTAAGGTTTCTTCGTTCCTTAGATTGAGGCCCCTCTGAGACCAATTCGGGGGTTTCCGCCGCGCTGTTGGGCCTGGCTATAGGTCATCAGATGCCTAGCCCTTGGCCAGGCCTGGCCATACCCCCTCCACCCCCCGCTCCACCCGTCAATAGCCACCTTCCCAGGAAAAAGCGACTCATTAGCTTTCCAAGGACCTGCTTCGCCACACGGTTTTGAGGAACACTTTATGACCAGAAGCCTGACTTCTGAATTTCCCATCTGTATTTTTGTTTTACCTAGAGCTCCCTGATTCCCGCCGTGTTGTTCTTCAATAACAATCACTTGGGTTTCTGTAGCTCCTTCTATAGCTTCTGCTGTTGTGAGGAAGATGGCGGGAGGATTACTGTCCCCATCTTCCAGATGCAAGAAAGGACTCTCCTGGTCTCACTGCAGCAAATGCTAGAGGCAAGATTCAAACTCCTATCTCTCCTGGCTCCCGGGCCAGGACTGTTCCCACACTGCCCATGATGAAACATTATCAGTGCCAACCTGAGGGGGAGGTCGTTTTTTCCTCTGTCAGCAAGAAGAAGCAGGTCCCAAATCATGTGCAGTCCAGGGTTTACTTGACTGTGTCCTTGAGAAGTCCTGATTTGCTAGTCTTCTGAAGTCCTCAGCAGGGGCCTCAGAGGCCGGCAAGCCTCCACAGGCGTTGAAGGCAGCCACATCTCCAAACGGCTTCCAAGTGCCCCCAAGCCAGGCTCCAGCAGCGCTTCGAGCACCAGGGCCCTGGATCGTGGTGACTGCCGGGGCTGTGGCGAGCCACGGGTCTGGATAAAGTCATCCCGCTAGAGAGGGCATCAGCCCAGAGCACTTGGCCTAGCTAGCTTGGAAAGGGAGAAAGGTGGGCTCTGGGATCTTGTAGGAACCTGTCAAGTAGTGTAACAGAGAGGGCCTTGGGCTGTAAGGCCAGCGGAGAATGCTGGAGCCAGGCCTGATGTGCCGATCACTAGCCCTCCTCACCTCTGAAAGGAGGGAGGGCAGCTGGGGGCTGCTTCTTGGGGCCTGCTTCGGCCCTCAAAGCTTCCTTACAGATAGGCCCTTTGTGCTCCAGGGCATGGCTGGCCTTCTACACGGGTGGAGCAGACCATCCCCAAAAGGATATTTAGGAAGCCCAAGGGCCCCACTGTCTGAAATTCCATGGTGAGAAATGCCTTCCTTTGGCTGCAGGATATGAACTAGGTACACATAAGGGAGAGTATGTGTGCCGGGGACGCGTGGGCCCAAACAGGAAACCGGCTGGGGCATGGGATGGACGTTCCCCAATTAAGTCCCGGTGGCTGCCGCCTGCAGAGGACAACTTCTGATGAGTGGGGCTTCTTTGGGAGCCCGAGAGACTTTCAAGATAAAGGAAGAGAAAACATGATGGGCTGAGGACCGCCATCGCGAATCCCAAGGAAGGCCTAGGGCAGAGTTCCAGAAGGGCTGGGGCCCACACCACTGAGCACTCCTAGCTAACATGCGCTTCTGCAGTGGCCCTCCAGGAGCCAGGCGGTCTCCGTTTGAAAGTAGCCATTTGGGGTGTGGGGGTGGGCTGAACCAGCCGTTCTACCTGTAACCTTCTGGAAGATAAATCCATCTTATTTCTAGTCCAAATCTAGGCTGTCTGGTGAAGTATTTGGGCAACTTCCTCACATTTCTCTTTTCAAATTAAAATAATTCCATAGCACTTATGTCATGGGCCCTGTGTGGTCCCTGAAAAGGGACCTGCTTTCGCCTACCTGCCCTCGTCCCACTGCAGCCCAAAAGGAGAATCAGATTAAAATGTAATTGGGAAGTAATTGACCAGATAAAGAAAATACAATAGAACCTAGATGATGTTAATATATGGTTCTCCTAAGTCAACAGAAGGCCAGAGATGTCCGGGCACAACACCCCACCCCCATCCCTCACTGCTGCGTCCCAGAGTTTTCATCCAGGAGTACCTGTCAATCACGACTTGTCACTTCAGTGTCTAGCCACACCTATCTCAGGTTCAGCTAGCTTGTCATCAACCTCAAGGTCACAGCCAAACAGCTTAATTGTACTAGTAAAAGCCCGGCAGAATCAGGATGACATTAGCCACTTGTATGGTCAAATGTGATATCTCAAACACTTTCCAGCCAGAACCCACAAGGCAAACCCAAGCTCTCAAGTGGAAGTCCATTTCCTCTCCCAACCGGGCTGACTGCGAGGGAGAGAGAACCAGAAAATTCATTTACTTAATGAAAACAAAGCAAATCAAAGACAAAAACAAAAACTACATTTGCTCACACACCAGAGGCAAGATTCTAATCGTCATTTGCACGAGGTTAACTCACTTACAGCCAGTGTAACCCGAAGTCCTCCTTCACTCTTGTTGGGTCTGTGGTGAGTGCCAGTCGCTACATTGTTTCCAGGTCGTGGTCTGTTCAGGCCACTCTCCTCTGCTGTCTACCAGGGTCCAGCTTATAACAGTTAGCAAGATCTATTAATAGCATTTATATAGCACTTCAAGCTTTGCAAAGCACCTTACAAATTTGTCTGCACAGCCCTACAGACCCAGGAAGCAGGAAGCCCGCTAGCTTGGTGCTAAAAGCATGGGCATGGCGGGGGAGAGGCGAAACACGTCTGTGTGTCTGACCTTCAGAACTTCCTGAGCACAATAATAGGCGGGCATACCTTTAGCCTCATTCCATGCCCTGAATCTGCTACCACCCTGTCATTGCATCGACTGGTTGGTCTTGCATCGATCAGAATTCTTAAGTCTTCCCAAGTTGTTTATTTTTACAATGTTCCAATACTGCCATTTTATAGATGAGAAAACTGAGACGCAGAGAAGGGAGAAGAGACTTGCTCTCAAAGGTCCCAGTGATAATGAATACTTAAATTAGGGTTCAGGTGTGGTCCAGAATCACAGTCTGCCAGAGTTAGAAGAGACCTCAGGGGCCACTCCATCCCATGCCTCCCGGAACAACTTTGGAAGTCTTCAGAATTCTGGTCAATGAGATGGCCAATCATTAGTCCAGAAGACTGAGTTAAAGCCTGCTGCCCACCTCCTAAAAGGGAGGTGGGAGACTTAGGGCACAGAATGAGGCCTACATTGAGGGCCAGTGAATTTACTTTGCTCCAGTATGCATCTTTGTCACGAAGGATTTCCTTTTCCTTTTTTTTCTTCAGAACAAATGAGAAACTAAATGCTTGTTAATTGAAAAAAATAAAATTTAATTTTAAAATACAAAAGTGTTGGACTACCTTCTCAGCTGTAACATCTTACTATCTGCTACAGGACTTCTGAATCTTTTTGATGTCAGAGACCCCTTAGGCAGCAGTCTGGTGAAACCAATGGACCCCTTCTCAGAATGATGTTTTTAAATGCAAAGGATTTGCAAAGGAAACCAGAGTAGCAAAAGTAAAGACAGAACTGTTTCCCATCCAAGTTCAAGGGGCTGGTGGATTCCAGGATAGGAATCCGTGACCTTCATTTCTCTCCCAGACCCTCCAGACTTGTACTCCATTCCTCAGCTGCTGTCCCATTCTGGGTTACCTCTCCCGCTCCCTTCTCCCATTGGCGAGCTCCCCCCCCCACCCCGAGCCTTCTGGCCACCTGTCATTTCCCTTCCATCTCCACTTTTGACTCTGATGTTTTTGGTTGCCTTCCCCACCCCCAACCTATCTTCTGCTCCCTTTAATGTATTCCTCCAATAGAATGTAAGCTCCTTGAGAGCAGGACCTGTCTTTTTTTTTTTCCCCCTTCTTTTAGTATTTGTATCCCTGGCCCTTAACACAGAGCTTGGCATGTAGTGAGTGCTTAACAGATGCTTGTTGATGTGACTTGACAACCTCTCCAGGCCTCAGTTTCCCTATCTGTAAAACAAGGGAGCTGGATTCAATTCTTTCCAGTTCTGTGTCACCTAAGATCCTAAGAGTGTGTCTCATCAGCCCCATGGGCAGAATTCACTTGTCATTATCTGGGTTCGCCACCAGAGGGAAGCAGTACTCCACAGAGACAGCCCCTGCTCGGGTCTGGTCCCCAGGATCCGATGTGGAAGACGCTTCAGGGCTATAAAGAAGATCCTCTCCCCTCTGCCAGGTGACCAGTAGCAGGAAGTGACCTCGGGGCTGATGTCAGCTGGGACCTGGAAGAAATGAAGGCAGGAGCAGGGGCTATGGGCGGCTGGGGGTGTAGCTCAGCCTCTTTCTAGCTGTGTGACCCTGGACAAGTGGCTTAACCTCTCTGTGCTTTCCTCCTCAGTGAAATGTTCCTGCCAAGAGCGATCACTTGCACATCACTTTGTAAACCTTAAAGTGCAATATAAAAGGATGGCTATCATTACATGGGAATGGACTGGTGCCCTGGAGTAGGTGGGTCATCGTGGCTAGGGAGAGACTTGTAGTGCTTTGAGGGAGCCTAGGCAGTTGGGTGGGAGGAAGGACGGTGAGAAGAGGTCCAGAGATTGGACACTGGAAAGGGAGAGCATTTCCTGAGCCCTTCTGAGGCTGTTCGGGGAAGAAAGTGCCCCCCAGGGTGTGCCTGACTTCACACCCCAAGGTTGCACGGGCCAAGCCCAGGCAGGGCTTCCTACGGCCTGACTGGGCAGGAGCTCCCAGGGGGCAGGGCAAGGTGCTGGGCCAGGCACAGGACGGTGAGGCTAGAGGCCTTGGGGAACACAGGCAAAGGGGCAGGATTGCCCCATCTACCGCGTAACAGGGCCACTGCTGCGCAGAACATGGTAGTGTTTGTTTAATTGAACTTCAACGGACAAGGAAAGGAGATGTCCAAGAGTTTTTCTTAACAAGGCATTAAAGCTGGCTCAGGAGTCAGGAGGACCAGAGTTCAAATGTGACCTCAGACACCTGACACTTATTAGCCATGTGACTCTGAGCAAGTCACTTAACCCTGATTGCTCAAAAACAAAACAAAACAAAACAAAACAAAACAAATAACACTAAGGCATTATGGCCCAGAAAACAGGTGAGCCAAAATACCAGAGGAATTATCGGGACCCTTGATCAACATGTGTGGGGCCAGCATTTCCCCAAGGCCTAAGAAGCTGAGTCCCATCAGAAGCTGCCGAGGCAGGCAGAGGCTTTGTAATCTGGAAGGAAGAGGTCTGAGACTCCCTGGCCGGCCACCTTCCTGGGTGAATTCGCCAAAGAGAGATGATGGCTAGCTAGCATTTATATTGCGCTTGAAGTTTGCAAAGCGCTTTATGAGCACAGAGCTGGGCCTGCTCTCAGGAACACTCGAGTTCAAATCCAGCCTCACACACTGTCTGACCCTGGGTCAGTCACTTAACCTCTACCTCAGTTTTCTCAACTGTAAAATGGGGATAATGGTCAAGGTGAGGATCCAAGGAGATTCTTGTGAAGAGCTTAGTACATGGCCTGCTACAGAGCCGGCTTAGTCCTCCTATTCTGTCCTGTGATCCTCATGATGCAGCCAGGGAAGCTGAGGCTGACAGAGGCCGTTTCCCTCCAAGTCCAGCCCTCACTGTGTGCCCTGGGCCCCCAAGATGTCTGACCACAGGCAGGAAGGGTGGGAGAGCTGGGACCAGAGAAGCCTTGAAGTCCTCCCCTCCAGTCCTTGGGACTTCAGGGAATGGCCCCAGGGAAGGTCTCTGGCTCCCAGGGCAGGGAGAGCCCTTAGGGGATTAGACAAAAAAGGGAGAGAGGCCCACCCAGCTCCAGGCTCCCATCTGGGACACAGGAACTAGGCCATCCCCAGACTCTGGGAACAAGCCCTTCCCAGCCAGTCCAGGACAAGGACCGGGGCTTGTTCTCCGGGAGGATGGGACCTCAGCAGGCAGCCAGGTAAGGCCAGGAAAGCATGGGATGCGGGGAAGGATGCTCTGAGATGCCCCATGCCCACCCCGGGGAGAGCAGGGGGCGTCTTGGGCCAACCTCTGCCCTTGGAGATGCGAGGGAACCAGGACCCCACAAGCCTTCCAGGCCTTCCCTACAGAAGGCTCATTGACCCCAGCCAGGCTTCAGTTTATAGGAATTACGTTAAAATGTCCTGGAGAGCCAGACTAGGTGGAAGTGGCAACTGGCTATAATTCATCGGTCACATGGGAGGTCCTGTCCACACAACACCCATTCACCCTCTTTTATCTTGTATGTGGTTTTCTGCATGTTGTCTTCCCAATAAGGGGCCACTAGGTGGCGCCATAGCACACAGAGCGATGGGACTTAAGCCAGAAGATTGAATCATCCCAAATTCAAATTCTACTAGCTGTGTGACCCTGGGCAAGTCATTTCACCCTGTTTGCCTCAGTTTCCTCATCTGTAAAACAAGCTGGAGAAGGAAATGGCAAAACACTTCAGCGTCTCTGCCAAGAAAACCCCAAATGCGGACACGACTGAAAAACGATTCAACGAATTTCCCAATTAAAATGTGAGCTCCTTGAGAGCAAGGGTCATTTTTGCCTTTCTTTGTCACTCAGTGCTGAGCACAGGACCTGGCACAGAATAAGGGCCTCATCAGGGTTTGCTGATTGACTAAGCCGGACCACACCTGCAGCCTTACCTGACCCTCCACGCACAAAAATATTCACCCACCTTGTAGCTGTGCAACCTCAGGCAATCTCATGCCCTCTCTTAGCCAGCTTCCTCATCTGTCGAGAAGTTTGGACTCAACCTTTTCTGAGTCCCAGACCCCTTGGGCGGTCTGGTTAAACTCATGGACCCCTTCTCAGAATCATGTTTTTAAATGTATAAAATGTATAAGATGCAAAGAGAAACCAATTTCAATGGAGTCGGGATCACCATTCTTCCTTCGGAACAGTTTCTACAGTTTGGCAGCCTCAGCTTGGAGCTGTGAAGTCCTTGATTCTGTGACCCTGCGCTTGGGTCCCAGCCTGCTCTTCCCGGCCCGCCCTCTGGTGATCACCCTCTGGTGATCGCAGCCTAAAACCTTCCAGGGATAGGGCAGAGGCTCAAAGTCCAACCCAGAGGCCCAGAAGGCAATCGACCGACTCAAGGTCACCCAGGTAGTAACATGGACGGGCCTTGAAACGAGCCCAGGTCCTCGGCCTCCAGCTCTGGCCTTCTTCCCATAACACCGCACCAGCTTGGGGCCACACACACACAGCCACACACACACACACACACACACACACCCATCTCCTACCTATCCCTGCCTCTTAGGGCCGGGCTATAGGGCAGCAAGGTGGCCCAGGCCTGAAATCCCTGCTCCTGGGGGAGGCTGAACCAGGCAGCTGCCTTGAGCCGGAGCTCTGAGCTGCAGCAATAGAGAAAGTCAGACTTCCCTGCCCACCAGAGGAAGGATGGAGAAAAGGATGTTTGGGAAAAAGGCCTCGGGTTCAAGAGCCCAAAGGCTGGTAGATTCTCATCAGTTCTGCAAGGAACAGGTCCTTCCTTCAGACTTGTACTTCTGCTGGCCTTTACCTGGTATATGAGGAGGCTTTGTGTCCCTCCCCCAGAGTATCTGGTTACCTGCTCCTGGACACCACAGTTTCTCAAGTGACAGAAATGTTCCTGTTGGGACTTTCAGTGATTCCCCCCCCCTCCCCCCGTTACCGACAGACTCTTCGGTCACCTGTTTGCCTTTAGGGCGATTGAACGGGTTTGTTCCTGCCAGGCTAGGCCAACTGGGCTTCCACTGGGCAGGGGAGGTATCTGTGGCCCCCACCCCAGGGGGGCCACTCCCCAAGTGCAGGGGTGCTGGGGCAGACTTTCAGATAATCAAGGACCTTGGAAAACAGATCTGGGATGCAGCTGGCACCAGCTGGCTGTGAGTTTCTTGCCCGTATTTCTCTGAATGACTTGGCATCCTGGGCATCACCTCTGAGGCTGGCTCTGCTGGCCACCCCCAAGGCCTGGCTCAGGAAACAGCCACCATCCCCAAACCTCGGGGTTTTATTTTGGCGAGAGAAATCAAGAGAAACAGAATTGTTAAAAATAAAGCATTTTCTTTACTTGTACCTTTAAGCAAAATAATCATGACATATATATATATATATACAGGGGATAGCTGAACCCAAGTGATCCTGATTCCCAAGAACCCCTCTGGGCTACGGAGAGTCAGAGCACTCCCCATTCCATCTATTGCTGAGCACCCAACCAAGGAAGGAAACATTGATTTTTGGCAAACAGAAAAAATGAGCTACAGCCTGGAAAATGTTTACTTTACATTTTGAAAATCACATAAGATCTACCAGGGTGGGGTGGAGTGTAAGGGCTAGCTGGGGAAGGCCGGGTCAGTCACCAACCTAGGCTAGCTGATCCATGCACGAGTCAGTCCCTTTTCCACAAAGCAGACCCCCTAGACTCCCCTTCTTTCTCTGCCCCCTTGTCACATCACAGGTGGGCCAAGGAAGAACAGAGAAAAGGATGTTCGAACACAGGACTCAGGGGGCTCAATGGGAAGGAAACCAGTCCAATGGGGATGATCTCTGGAGAGGGTCTCCTATAGCTAACTCAGCAATGACTTCTTCTTCTCGGTTGGAGTAGGGATTTGGGGGGCAGAGAGAGAGTCCAGACTTGTTTCCTTTCAAGGCTGATCCGGATCAGAACATACAAGCACGTACATGAAACGTGGACACACAGACCGCCCGCCATGGCTGAGCAGCACAGCCCCCCAGGAACCCAGAGGGCCCCCGTCCCCGGCACAAGCAGCTCCTCCAGATTCTGGATTCTCCGGGCTGACTCAGCTCCTGACAGCAGATGGCAGGACAGATGGACACCGGCAAGCCCCAGGCAAGCTGATCACCTCAGAGCTCGGGGCCAAATCCTCATCAATTTCTAAATAAATTACAGGAAATAACTTACAGAGGCTTTGTACAACTTTACACAGTTTCCAAAGGAGGCGCGGGCCCTTCAGTCATCCTGTGTGCGTGCAGACCCTACACGGCGCCCATGACCTTCCAAGGGCCCCCATGATGATAATGACGGCCCTGATGAAGGCAAGGTGGCTAGGCGATCTGGCTAAAGAACCTGATTCAACCCCAGTGGGTTTCGGAGTCTCCATTTTAAGAACGTGGGCAGCAAAGTGGACAAAGTGTTGAACGAAATCAAAGGCCTTTTCTTGTCTAAAAATCACTGGATGGAGGGGACTGAGGAGGCGCAGCGTCTCAGACAAGGGGCTCTTAGCAGTTGGGGTCCTCCCGCTGTACCTTTCAGTTCACGCCCAAAACCTCCAATGCTCTCCTCTGTACAGAGCGTAAGAAAAAAATAATAAATACAGATGTATTATAATAAAAAAATAATGGGACTGACCTGTCCACCTAATACATCTGAGGTACGTACGATCAGTTTAAATAAGACTTATATTATTTTAGGCTCCAGTGACCACTCCCGTCCCTTCAGTTTGCAATAAATAGGTAAGAGGTGTGCCTCATTGGCCTCGAAGGAGCACACCAACAGCCCGCAGGGACGCAGGTGCAGACCATTCACCCGAGCTACAGACGCACGGCTGGCTCAGCTCCACCAGAACTCCACTAGTCCCTGAGTGACGACACCGTCCCTCCTGCCGGTCCCTCCTAGACCTTCACCATTTCCATGAGGGATGACTTAATGGCATCCTCCAGCAGCTGGTTGTCCGAGAAGGGGGCGGGCATCTCCGGGACCGATTCTGAGAGGCCAATGAGGGACTCCAGGAAGCAGGCGGTGGGGTCGCTGGCGGGGGAGAAGGCGGGCTGCGGCACAGACAGGTTGTCCCCATTCTCCGAGTCCTTGGGCAAGGGGTAGAGGGGGCCCAGGCTGTAGTCGGAGAAGGACTGGAAAAGATCCAGGGAATCGGAAGAGGACAGGCTCAGGTCTGTGTAGCTCTTACAGCTGTCCGTGGAGGGAGGGAGGGGACAGCTGGAGCCGGCGCCCGCGGCCGACTGGGTAGGAAGGCCGTCCAGGTAGCAGAGGGCATCCTGGTTGGCGTTCTCATCCAGGCAGTCAGAGACGATGCTGGCCATGTGGCCGGGGTAGCCGTCGGCCGCCGCGCCAAAGAGGTCCACGGAGGGGAAGCTGCCGAGGTCATCCTGGCAATGGGCGATGCCAGGGGGGACGCCCCCTGACCGCACCCCCTCCTCCTCGTCGTCCTCCCCCAGGACGTTGGAATCACTGAAATGCAGGATCCGGGCCAGGCCGTCATCATCCAGGTCAGCCGGCAGCTTGTCGGAGGGCACGGCTCCTCCGTAGGGCCTCCCCTCAGAGGGGGCCTCGCTGGGGACTGAGGACGCCGAGGCGTCGGTCATGTCGCTGCTGCAGCTGCTGTCCCCCAGAATCTCCATGCCCAGAGGGAACGGAAAAGTCGGGGTTGGCGGGGGAGGCCCCAGGGGCCCAGCCTCGTCCCCCAAGCAGGCAAAGGCAGCAGCGGCAGAACCGTCCTGCAGCGACTCAGCCTCGGACCCCGAGCTCTCCTGTCGGCTCTCGAGTTCCAGCCTGGTGAGGGTGTGGAGGGAGTGCGTCTGCACCCGGGCCTGGTTAAACTCCACCCTGCCCTCCGGGTTCCCACAGCCATCCTTGCTACAACCACAGGGGAAGGACGTGTGGTCCATCTGTAACCAAACCGAGAGAGAGAAGCGATGAGGACGAGAACCCCAGGGACAGCACCCCGGGCCCAGCCCTGCTCCCCCGTGCCCCCGGCACCCCAGGGGCCCACCTGGCACTTGATCCCAGTCACACTACAGCTGCAGGTCTCGGGGTCACACACATCCTGGCACTTGCAGCCACAGTCCTCTCGAGACAGCCGGATGGCCTGTAGCTCCTGCTTCTCCTCGCGGTCAATGCGCCTCACGCCCATGGCCCGCAGCAGTCTGCGCCGCTGCCGGGCAGAGTAGGGCTGCAGGAAGGCACCGCCGTCCAGCTCCTCGTCGGTCACCTCCACGTCGGCCTCCTCCACGGGCAGCTGGTGCGTCTCCTCTGGCTCCGGCGTCCCACTGGCCTTGAGCTGCGGGGGGAGAGGGAAGGGGGTGAGACGGGCAGACAGACGCCAGGGAGGGCCCGGGTTCACAAAGCCGGCCTCCCACGTCACAGGAACGCAGGAACGGGCGGCAGGGGGCAGAACAGGACGGCAGAAAAGACCGGTGGCAGGGGGCAGAAAAGGAACAGCTCGTGCCTGCGTCCAAAAACTCAGTTTCACAAGTTCAAGATGGAGGAAAATCAAGCCCATCTGATAAACTACCAGGCAGTTTTAACGGACAATCAGTTCAGTAAGAGCGCTCCTGAGGACCCAGCAGCCCACAGGCGAATGCGGTGTTGAGCCGCGCTCAGCCGAGGACATTCTGTGCTAAGTCCAAACGGATAAGGCTGCCCTGGTACATCACAGGGAGCCCTCCGCCAGGGCCACAGCCACGAGGCTGGCAGCCCTCACAGCGGGCAAGACGCCCGTCGATACTGACCTTGGAAAAAACATCAAAGGTGTAGTGTGTGCACATGCGCGTCAGTGTACATGTCCGCACATATGTGCTGCATGGCATCGTGCGGGTGTGGGCATGCATGCACATGTGCGTTTGCACACTGCTGTACTGTGTTGTACTATGTGCAAGTCTGCACACATACATGCATGTTTGCACATGTGTACTGACTGTCTGGTACATGCGGGTACACACACACACACACACACACACACACGTCTACGGCCCCCTACCTTCCATTTCAGGGCCTCCAGCTTCTCCTCCCTCAGTCTCACGCGGAGCTTCTCTTTCCGTGAGCGGGCCTGCTCCTGCGCAAACTCTTCCAGCGTGAAGTTGCAGCAGGTGTGGTGCCGCCTCACCATGCCCAGGGTGCAGCCCCCTCGGCTGGGCACGCTGGTGAAGCCCTGGCATCTTGGGAAGTAGAAGACGGTGACCCCAGCAAAGGTCACGTTCCCCGCCGCGGAGCGCCGGGCCTTCTTGAGGATGGATGGAGCTGGAAGTGAAAGGAGATTCTCAGTGCTGGCCCAAAGGCCCAAGCCCCTGGCCCTCCCTCCTCCGGGAGCTCCTCATCCCTCAGGGCTCATGAGGCTTATACAAAACATCCGCCACAGAGAGAGGGTAGGGTAGGACGGAGGCCTGGCTTAGACCCAGCTCCTGACGCTGCTTGGACATTTTCACCCACTTACATGACCTCGCAAGTCATTTCCTCCCTCGGCCTCAGCTTCCCTACTTGCAAAATGAGAAGGTTGGACTCAGATGACCTTGGGGGTCTTTTCCAGCTCTAAATCAGGGGTTCTTAACCTGGGGTCCGTTCATATTCTCTAAATACCGTGATACCTGTATTTCTACATACATGGTATCCCCATCATGCTACGCAGGTTCCGTGCACTTAAAAACACTTTTCTGAGAAATTTCTCGAGACAGCACATTTTTCCGCCAGACACCCAAAGGGCCCATGACACAAAAAGGGTGAAGAACCCCTGCTTGAAACAACCTATGATCCGATGAACCAGCACGAGGCCTCAGTTTCCTCATCTGTCACAGGGAGATGTAGTGATGGCACTAATTCTCCCACCGGGCTAGTGTCAAGGAGGAAGGCACTCTGCCTTCTCTAAGGCTGTGGAAAGGGTTCTGCGGCCACCCCACACCCACGCCCGCGTCCAGGGGGGAAGGGAGGGAAGGAACACTCACCGATGAGGTCCCTGGGCATGAAGGCAGCTGGGTGGAACTCCTCGTCAGAGTCCCAGCCTGAGGATTCGGAGGACGAAGTCGGCGAGCAAGAGCGCGAGAAGGACGACGAGGTGGAGGTGTCATCATCCAGCTGGTCAAACTTTCTCTTTAAAAGCCCGCTCATCCTGGCCCCTGCACCTGCAAGGACACACGCAGCCGAGACGTGAAACACAGAACGGGGCATGGGTGCTGGCGGAGAAAGGGGAGATGCTGAGCCCGCCGTCCTCAGCCCAGCGCCAAGCCCGCGGGGAGCGATCCAAGGGGAGATGTGGGCCACGATCTGGACAGCCACGGACGGGGCACAGCACGCCCCAATCGTCAGCTTCCTCCTCCGCAGAATGGCCCGGAAGGTCTGTCCCAGCTCTGGCTCTCTGGCCCCACTCATGACTTTAACCTAGTTATGCCTCATTTTCCTCATCTATAAAATGAGGAAGCTGGACCAGACGGCTTTTGGGGGGCCCCTTCCAGCTCTGACCTGTGGCCCCATGACACCTCAGGTCATCCTCTGGACCCCTTCCACACCCAGAGCTCCCCAAAGCTAGACGACCCGTTAAGTAGAACTCACAAGGGAGGCCTGCTGGCAAGGAAGAAGGATCCCCAAAGGAAAAGTTCTGAGTGAGAAACACGACCGGCTCATCGTGATCCCCCCACCCCCAAACGCCCGGGCAGCACACCCAAGAGTCCTCTGCCAACACCTTATCTCACCACTTAACCAAGAAGCCCCCTGGCACCCCCAAGTGCACTGGCACTAGGAAGGAGGCACCGGCCCAAGAATCAGCATCCATCTGTCTCTCCACCAACAAACAGGGACCTAACCCGACAGGGATAGCGATCGGGCCGGGGCCCCTCCTCCCTCTCCACTCACAGGGGGAGGAACGGCAAGTCTGCCTGCAGAGGATTCCTGGAAGATGAGCCTGTCTGTGACTCACCCTCCACATGAGTGGGTGTGAGTGAGTACGTGAGCACAGCCGTGCGCGTGTGGGCGTGTGCATGTGCGTGGATCTCTGTGTGTCTGGGTGATATCTTCAGCCAACCGACAGCCCTGGAAGTTAGATGCCCTCTCTCTTTTCCACTCTCTCTGTCTCTTACACACACACACACACACACACACACACACACACACTCTCACTCTCGGTTGCTGGGTTGCCAGCAGTGATAGAGTAAAGTTATTATTAGTAACTGTTCAGCTCAGCAGAAGGCTCTGACAGAAGACTTGGATGCACTGGGAGAACAGAAAGAGAGAGAGAGAGAGAGAGAGCTGGGCCAGGCAGCTCCCTCTCTGACTCAGCCCCAACTCTCCAATCCAGATTTCCGGAGCTCAGCGTCTCCCTGCCCGGCCCCATCCAGGCCTGGTCACCCTTGCCACACTCAGCCCTGGCATTCTCAGCTTAGTTAAGGTCTAAGCCCAGGAGCCCTCGGCTGACGCTTCTCAGCTCCGAGCTCCAGGGATCCCCAAGCACGGAGCAGGCACAGGCCACTGGAAGGGGAGGAGTCTGATGGAAGGGTGAGGACAGCAGAGGTAGACAGTGTTAAGGGAAAGCTGAAGAGGACTTTCCCCATGAGGCCTTCCCACAGACAGCAGCTGAGGGAAGTGTCACATACTGGCCGCCTCTCACAAGACAAGACCTACTCCACTAGAAGAATGCCTTCCCGACCTCCCTTGAGGAGGAATCACTGAGGCCACGGGCCTTAGTAAAGAGCTACAGGAATAAGAAAGAAGTGAGACGCCTGAGACATCTAGGTGGGAAAGGGGGGATTCTGCAAGGATCCTGAAGAGTGTATGTGAACTTTGTGTTTCTGCCAGCATCAAATGACAACCAACAAGCCAGGCCCTAACTCCAGGTTAAGAGCAAAGGGAAGACCAGAAAAGGTTAGGCCTCAGAGGGGACCCCTGACCCCATTTCAAGCGGCAGAGCAGAGAAGGACCACCGGATTCAGGGAGGTGTATTACAGGCAACCTTCCTCCCCAAAGAGCAGCTGTCCCACGTCCCAAGACACGATGCGGCCGTGGGGTGCCTGCAGGTTCCGAATGCAGTGCCGCATGCTATCCTAACTCCCTCTCCTCTGGGTTGGGGCATCTTCCCAGTGAATGATGGGAAGCTCCCGAGGACCACCACCCACTTCTGGTAGTTCTGCGGCCAAAGCAGACCATCGAACAATCTGAAAAGCACGGCCGAGGCTCTACTTACTCACTAGGCCAAAAACACTGAAGCTTAGAGGGGCACAGGTGGTGTTCTCATCTGCTGATGATTAAAAGGTAGGAGTGTCTGAAGAGAAGGGTGGGTTTGGAAAGTGAGCATCTGGCTCAGAAGAAGGCATCTCTCAGAATGGGGTATTTGTTTCTGAAACAGTTTCAAACACAGGAAGCACCTGGGGGTGGATAATAGGGAACCAAGCCAGAGAACACCCAAAATCTCAAGCCGGTAGAAGAGCCGGGCCCCAGACAGACAAAGTCACGGGATCTGGCAGCATCACTGAACAGTCACCCCTCTTTCCCATTGTGCCCCACCTCCCTTACCTCCATCTCATCCCTCCCTATTGCCCTGACTCAGCTAGGTGGTGAAGGGGATGGAGCACTGGGCCTGGAGGCAGGAAGACTCATCTTCCTGAGCTCAAATCTGACCTCAGATGCTTGCTCTCTGTGTGACCCTGGGCAAGTCCCTTCACCCCGTCTGCCTCAGCTTCCTCATCTATAAAATGAGCTGGAGAAGGAAATGGCAAATCACTCCAGTATCTTTCCCAAGAAAACCCCAAATGGGGTCATGAAGGGTCAGACATGACTAAGACAACAAACAGCGATCCCCCGACGTCTCCCCATTAGCTGCCTCCCTGCCTGCCCTACTGCCCTTCTCTCCCATCCAGGGCCTACCCCCACCGCCCACCTCCTCCTGTCTTCCTTCCTCTCCCATCATCCTCTCTTTCCCCCTTCGTCTTTGGCTCCCAGGGGCCCCGGCCCCAAGCTGCAGGTGGTTGCCTGAGTTTCCACTTCCTTGGTCTCCCGCCAGAACAGATGGAGAGGGTGGGAGCTGGATTTCTTCCAGCCGCCTATGGCCCCAGTGCCTGGTCCAGGGCAAGGCTCACCCTGCCACCCGGCCTCCACCTGACTCACCTCCCACCTGCCGTCCCCTCTTTCTGCTGCCCCCAGCACAGGCGAAGCCTGCAGCAGTTCAGGCTGAGAAGCCTTCCTGCTCCCCCGCCCCTGAGTCCATCGGTGCCAGGGCTCCCACTTCCAAATCGCAGCCCCCTTTCCTAACCGTCCCATGGACCTTCTACTAGTCTCCACCCACCCAACGGGCCTTAGTCTCCTCACCTGTAAAATAGGAATGCTAATCCTTATGCCCCGCTTCCTCCTCCCCCGCTGAGGAGGTTCTGAGAATGAAAGGAGCATGTGTGTCAAAGGGACGGGCACAGCTGCTTCCGGGGCTGCTGGCCGTGTTCTTGTTCCCCTCAACTACCAAACCGCAAACAACAAGCCCCCGAGCCCCTCCCCCCACATCCCTGCCTGGCCCCATTCGCCCGATACTCGACACTCATCCTGAATGAAAGGAGTCCTCTGCCCCCTCGGGCCTCCTGACCGGGTGCCCCCGACGCCTTCCTCAGAAAGGGCCCCTGCTGACCTTCTGGCCAATTGTCAGCTCTCGGGTGCTTCCCCATGCCCGCTGGACAGCACCCAAAAACTCTCAAACTGCCCTTCTCTGGATGGCAGGTCTAGGTGTCTCCCCTGACATGACAACTGGGTGTAGATGGCATGAGTCACAATGTGAAGGTGGCAGAGGGAAAAGGAGGTGGGGAAACGTCTGACAGAGGGGCTGAGATGTCAAGGATATCAGCTGAGCAGGCAGCAACATGAGGGACCCCTACAGACTCAGTTTAAGTGAGGCCCAGGGAAACATAAAGGAATAAACATTAAAGCACCTACTATGTGCCAGGCCCTGTGCTAAGATCATTACTATGTGCCAGCTCCTGTGCTGAGGTTATTAAGCACCTACTATGTGCCGGGCCCTGTGTTAAGTTTAGTGAGCCCTACTATGTGCCAGGCCCTGTGCTAAGGTTATTGAGCACCTACTATATGCCAGGCTCTATGCTAAGATTATTGAGCTCCTGCTATGTGCCAGGCACTGTGCTAAGTGCTGAGGATACAAAACAAAGGCAAAAGCCAGTCACTTCCCTCAAGGAGCTCTCAGTCTAACAGGACAGAGGACCCCCAGACAATTCTGTACCAACAGGTTATCCAGGCTAACTCGGCAATCATCTCAGAGGGAAGGGTTTCCCAGAGGCCTGGGAAAGGCTTCTCCATGCAGGCCAGCCAGCCCACCCTGGAGTTTGGAAAAAAGAAGAGAGAGAGACCCCCCCCCCAAACTGAGACAGAGACACTAAGGGGGGGGGGGTGCACCAGGCAGCCCTGGGCCTCCCGCTGGGCTGCTCTTCCCAAGATTCCCAAGGCCACAGAGATAGGAAAACAGGCTTAACAGGGGATGGGCCATGGGCACTGCATGGGCACAAAGGGGGAGGAGAAAGCCGCTCCCTGGGCAGGCCCAGCCAGGGGTAGGACAGGTGATCAGAGGTAACTGAACAGCTTCACCCATATCCCGACCAGGATTCGATTTCCACCTTTGGCCAAAGCAGAAGATTCTCAACCTGGGCCCACAGGCTTCACCAGCTGCCAGAGGGGCCTTGGCATTAGAAAGGTTAAGCAACAGCCCCCGAGCCACAGCAAAGGGCACCTGCGAGGGTGCCTGGGCTGGGATTCTGGCCTCCAGATCTCAGAGGCCCTTGTCCTCTACCCCTCCTCCTCATCCCAACCCTACCCTGCGGGCACATCCCACACAGCCTCCTGCAGAAGGGCCGGGCTTGGGGGAGGGGGGGCCCAGGATCAGAGTCATTGAGCCAGAAGGGGCTGTAAGACATCCTCTAGTCAAACCCAGATATCTTAAAGATAAGGAAACTCACAGAGATGGAGAGTGACTCACTCCAAGTGTCAGAGCTTTTAAGAGGCAGAGTCAGGATCTGAACTCAGCTCTTGTGGGTTCGGATCACTTCCCAGGAGGAGCTGATGCTTTATGATTTTTGCTCCCCTCCCCCTCTTTCCACTGGCAGCCCATCCCCCCTCCTCCCTGGGGCCTGGGCAGGAATTTCAGGAATTTGTCCTTTTAAACTTCCAAAGCTACTTCTGTCCACAGACAAGGGATCAGGAAACCCCAAGACCCTGTCCCCCACTCCCCCACGGCAGCTGGTACCCAGAGTGTCTGAGGGACCCCATTATTAGAGCACAGTATCAGCCTTTAATTTGAAGGGCTGGGGAGGGAGGGCAGTCACTAATGCCCTCAGTGTAATTGGTGGTGGGGGGAAAAAAGACAAAGCAGAGTAATGAAGGAAAAAAGACACACACACACACACACACACACACACACACACACACACACGCACGCACAAAATTCACAAAATTCCAGAAACGTCCAGAAATAGAGACATAGGAACTAGGTTTGGTAGAGCTGTAGAAAGATAACTGGAACAAGGGTCAGGAGGCTGGCATTACTACCCAGTTCTAACTGCCATCAGCTTGCTGAGTGACCTTGTCCAAAGCACTTGGCCTCAGTTTCCCTGCCTGTCCAATGAAGAGTTTGGGACTAAATAATCTCTTAAAATTCTGAGCTTGAGAAGCTGGGGAAGCCTCATCCTCTAGGGGCCCTCTCCCCCAAAGCTGAGGGGATCTCCCTTCCCTAATACCTCCCCTGAGCCTCCCTCCAAGACATTAAGAATATGAAATGGGGGCAGCTAGGTGGTGCAGTGGATAGAGTGGATTCAGGAGGACCTGAATTCAAATCTAGTGTCACACACAAAACACTTACTAGCTGTGTGACCCTGGGCAAGTCACTTAACCCCACTGCCTAACCAAACCCCCCCCCAAAAAATGTGAAATGAGGGTGGGAGAGTAAGAACAGGGGTGACTGAGGTCTTGGAGCCCAACTCTAAGATCTCCCCCAACCCCCACCCCTCCCAAACACACTTTACACTTCAGGGATTAATTTCCTTTTTCCCAAGGCAATCCCTGTCCTATATCTGTGTGTCTAAACAAGTCTCTGTTTCTATCACCGATTGACTACCACACCTTGGGTAAATTACAACTTTCCTAGGGATCAGTTTCCTCAAATGCAAAATGAATCACAGATGTTCCTCTGGTCTAACCCCTCATTAGAAGGTCTTATCACCAAACAGGAATCCTCTTTACAATACCTCTGATCAGGAGTCACTAATTCTCTGCTCAGAGAACCTCCATGGATGGGAAGCTCACTACCTTCCAAGGCAGCTTAATCCAAGTCTAGGACAGCTTTAAGTAAGGAGATGCTATAGATTGAAATCTGGCCTCCTGAAGATAGGCAGCATGAAAGACTGCACTGGGGCCAGTCCTGACCCCAACATGGAGTAGTTTCATAGTCTTGCTTAGGGAGGGTCCCTCAGTCTCCCTGAGTCAGTCTCCTCATCTGTAAAATGGATGCAGTAACAGCTACATTACCTATGTCAAGGTCTAGTTGAAAGGGTCAAAAGGCATAAGACATGCTTTAAAGTGCTAGAGAAATGTCCAGTACTGTTATTATCTCCGCCAGCAGTTCTGCTAGGCAAAACAAGCCACCCCTTGTCCCTGGAAGATGGCCACTATTAGGTTCTTATGGTCCTACAGAAGTCCCACCTTCAGGTTCTCATGGCGAAGTTTTTTGCATAAGGGACGGTTTTAAGGCCCCTCACCATCCCAGGTCACCTCACTGGTAATGTCTGGGTTGGATTGGTCATTACTGTTCTGATAAACTTTCAGTGGCTTCCAGGAGAAAATGTCCCAGTCGGCATCAGAGAAATAAATGTCAGCTGTTGTTATTGTTACAGTTCAGCCTTGCCCAGACCCTCTCCTATTTGCATACGTTAACATGGGCCCACTCCACACCTAGAAAACAAATCTGACTTTTGAAATCCTTCCCTGCCCGACAAAGGGATTAGAGGAATGGTCAGGAAGGCCCCCATTCAAATCTTGCCTGAGAAACTAGCCCCTCACTTAACTTTTCAGGGCCTATCTTTCTTCATCTACAAACTGAGAGGGGTAGGGGCAACTAGGTTGAGCAGTGGATAGAGCAACCAGCCCTGAAGTCAGAAGGAACTGAGTTCAAATCCAACCTCAGACACTTACTAGCTGTATGATCCTGGGTAAGTCACTTAACCCCAGATTGCCTCCACACAAAAAACAAACAAAAAATGAGGGGGATAGACTCTGTGACCTCTACGTCCCTTCCAGCTCATTTTCTCTCTCTCTCTCTCTATCTCAGTTGAAAGTGAAGTAATCCTTGTTCAAAATGTCTCCCAATCTCCCCTGTACCCACACCGTACTCTAGGTTATAGTGTGCCTCCTTCCCTTGGGAGCAAGTGTGGTACAGTGGGACGGGCACAGAGGACCGGGGTTCAAAGCCTGTTTCCGACATTCACATCTCTGTGGGAATTGGGACCACCCCTCTCTGGGTCTCATCTGTAAAATGAAGTGGCGCTATCGAAGCTCAA